GCTGGGGGTACAGGGAAACAACCCAAACCCAAACAGGCCCTACTGTGTAGGAGCTCACAAGTTTAACTGGGACTGTGATAGAGAGACACATGAATAAATCTCTAGAGAAGGCAGTTAGGTGGTGTTACAGTGGATCCAGGCCCGAGCCTGAGTCAGGAAGACCTGAGTTTTGTTGTGAGGCTCTGTGCAAACCACTGAACCTCTTTTGGCCTGTTTCCTTGCCTGTTAAATGAGGATAATAATAGCACCTATGTTGCCGGGGCCTGTAGTAAGAATGAAATGAGGGAGTATTTGAAAAGTGCTCAGCACACTGCCTGGCACCTAGTAGGTGCTTAATAAATGCTTGTCTCCTGCCTACAAGATAAATAAAAGTAGTCAAGCTGAGGAAGGGGGCAGGAGGGAGGGGAACAGGGGTCTCTATGAGGTGGGGGTGAGGAGATGGTTAGGAATGGGGAACAGACGGTTCAGAGGCACAGAGAAAGGAGCTTGGCTGTGTCCCAGAGTGGGGGGGGGGAGGCTTTTAAAGGTTAAATGGCCGAGTTTATATTTGGTCCAAGCCTAGAGGCTGTCGGAAGCCACTGGAGTTTCCTGAATAGGGGAGTCACATGGTCAGATCTGCACTTAAGGAAAATCATAGGGCCTCAGCCGCTGGTAGGATGGAGCTCATGTAGAATGGACCGAAGCGGCTAAGAGCCCTGAGGCAGGGTGCTGCAGTAAGCTGGCCCAGACATGAGGAAGGCCTGAGCTCAGGGGGCAGCTGGCAGTGAACAGAAAGAAGAGGCCGAGCCGAGAGATGAGGTGGAGGCTGAGCTGACAAGTCCTGGTAACTGAGCGGATATTTGAGGTGCGGGAGAGTGGCGAGGCAGGCTGGCGTTAGGAAGCTGGGAGACTGGAAGAAGGGGGGAGGCTGGGAAGAGGGGAGGACTTGGGGGGGTGGGGAGTTCAGTTTGGGACGGGGTGAGCTTGAGACGTGTATGGGACATTCTGTCCCAGTGGCGGCTGGTGGGTGATGTGGGCCTGGCGCTCAGGAGACAGGCGGGCACTGGATATGTCCCTCTGATGGAACTACCTGCTCGTGGGCCTCTAAGGAGGCTGCGGCTGATGATCGGAGGCTGGGCTTTAGCGGGCTGCGGGGCTGCCAGGTAGCAGCCCTGGGGGAATCTTCACCTTCAAAAGAAGGGTTGGGGGGGGTGGTACCTGCCTTGCTTCTGTAGAAGCTACTGGGTATTTAGCATTTCTTGGCCCTCCAGTACTATGTAAATGTCAGCTTTTACTTTTATGATGAGGGCGATGTGGCGGAATGGATCTAGGGCCGGCCTCTGAGTGAGAAAGACCTGGTCTCTGCCTCCGATGTGAACTGGCTTTGTGACCTTGGCCCTGGGTGGCCCAGGTGTAGCTGCCTATGCCTGTCCACTGTAGATGGGCTGCTACTCTGTGCCATTCCCCCCTCCAGGAAACCTCCCACCAAATAAGTGAAGGAAGGAACCGCGAGCATTTATTCAGTGTTTCGTGTGGACTGACCATTGTGCCCCCGAAACAAGGATGAATCGAGGCAGTCCTTGTTCCGACCCAGCCCCCAGTCTTTGGGTAGATACATGTTCACAGGCTGTAACCAGAAGAGCTCTGTAAAGCAAAATACCAAGTGATTGGTGGGCGAAGGAAAGTCTCCACCGGCAAGTTCTCTTGTAGGGAGTGGCCTGAACAAAAGCATGGAGGGAGGCAGGAGACTCCGGGTGGTGCCCCGGTTGAAGCAAAGAGGCTGGTTAGCTAGAGCAGAGAAGGGGTGATGGGGAGCCCAGAAAGACAGCCCCGGGCCAGGTTGGGGAGGGCTTTTAAAGGCCCGAGAGCTTGTAGTTTATACCTGAGAGGAAACTGACAATGAGATGCAACTGTAGGTGGCTTACCTGGCCAAAAACAATTATTAGTGTGTTAAAGACCTATAGCTAATTGTTATGGGTTAATTGCTCATTGGCAAACAAGAGGCGCCTCTCTAAATCCAGCCTCCAAGAGAGAACAAATGTTTCTGGGGATGTCAGTTTTCCTGGTAGAGCTAGTTCCTTGATCTCAGCCTCAGTTTCCTCACCTGTAAAATGGAGTCTGAATCTGAAAGGGAAGAAAGAGTGGAGGAGGGGTGGGAGAGTAGGGTGGTGGGGAAGGGTGCAGAGACTGGACAGATGGAGCCTGAACAAGGGAAATTCCCTGCAACTTGTCATTTAAGCTGGACACAGTTGGCCAACAGGTGCTTGGCTAAATTGTGCACTCCCATCATGCCTCACCTCCTATGGAAAAGCGTTTTGGACTGCCTTAGAGAAAGCCCGTAGCGTATTGCTGTTCTCCTTATTGGAGGAGCCTGGCAGAAGGCAGGGAGCAGCTATAGAGGGGTAGGGCATGCTATCCCTAAGCTTGTCACCACAGAAAGTTCTAAGCAAAGCTGTTCCTTAGGGTGGCAGCTCTGAAACTGTCTGCTCTCAAGACCCCTTTATACTCTTAAAATTTATTTAAGGACTGATTCTTCCTCCCTCCAGAAGTTTTTGTTTATGTGGCCTATATCTATCCATATTTACCATATTGGAAATTAAAAAATCTTAGTGTTATGGTGAAAAGTTTTGACCTTGTGGATGCCCTGAAAGACTCTTAGGGACCCCCAGGGGCTCTGGGACCACACTTTGTAAACCACTGTTTTAAGGTTATATATTATGTATGGTTTTATATATATATATATATATATATATATATATATATATATATATATATATATATATAAAGTTATATATCATATACGCTATTATATAGCACATCATCCATCCATTCACTCATCCATCCATCCATCTATCCTTTAAGAAGTACCAATAGGCTAGGAATTAGGGTTAGAGTCAGAATATTGGAAGCACTGCGCTAGGCACTAGGGAAGAGACAAAGACAAATAAGGTCTCTGTGCTGCCCTCATGGAGCTTACAGTCTAACAGAAGGGTTCGGCTTCATGCATGCCCAAACATGAAGCTATCTAACAAGTAACTGTAATTATGTAACAAGTGGTTATGATGGAAAGATGGGTAGGTACAAAGTACTCTACTCAAGGTGAGGGGAAGCTTTGTGGTCAGAGTCTGATTGGAGCTGTATCTTGAAGGATGGGGTGGGTTTCTAAAGAGAGGAATGGTGAAAAGGAGGAGGAGGTCATTTAAAACATAAGGAATGGCTTGGGCAAAGGATGAGAAATGAAATTGGGATTGACCAAGGTGTTCGAGGGAGGAGTAGTGTGTGGGATGCCACTCAAATTAAAAACACACACACACACACACACACACACACACACTTAGAGGCTTTTTTCAAGGAGAAACAGAAAGTTAATTTATTTGTTATTCTCAAGAATAGGGTGTCCCTCCACCAGGATAGTCTGATGAGGGAAGACAGAGACAGAAACAAAGAACCAGATTAAATAGCCCTAACGGGTAAAGCCCCTTCCCACCAACTGTCCATTACTTAGCTCACAATCTCAAACTCGAAACTCTACCATAGAACAAAGGGAAAAATATACGTATCTATATTTCATAGTTTACTGAAATGATATCAAAGAAGCAGTTAAAGATGTGCAGTCAAGCTAGACGTTATGCTGTATAGCCAGGTCACCATGACTGAAATAGAGCAGCAGAGGTAACAACAAAATACAGGGGAGTTTCAAACTTCAACTACTGAGATACATTGTACTGTATAGCCAGGTCACCATGACCAAAATAGAGCAGCAGATGTAACAATGAAATACAGGAGGGGTTTCAAACTTCAACTACTGAGATACATTGTACTGTATAGCCAGGTCACCATGACCAAAATAGAGCAGCAGATGTAACAATGAAATACAGGAGGGGTTTCAAACTTCAACTATTGAGATACATTGTACTGTATAGCCAAGTCACCATGACTGAAATAGAGCAACAGATGTAACAACGAAATACAGAGGAGTTTCAGGAGTTTGGGGCTTGGCAAACTTTAACTACTAATGTGGCACTAGGAGAAAAAGGGACTTACAGAAATCTATACTTAACCCTATCCTGCCTCCTGAACTTATTTCCAAATTTAGGATAGTCTTATCCTAAACCTTAATTACACTGAGAAGTCTTCATAGGGACATCCCACTCAGTAGCAAGGAGGAGGATCTTATAAGATCATATGGAGGGGTGCCATGGGTTTTTTTTTGGGGGGGAGGCCTTGAATGCCAGTTTGAGGAGTTTTGCATTGTGGGCACTAGGGAAGAAGCCTTTGAAAAGCTCTCTTTGGGTCTAGGGGAATCACCCCTCCCCCAGTGTTGGGGGCATGAGGGGGAGGAGCTGGTTTAGAACTCTTAGCTTTCAGATTCTCTGGTTGTTGTCTTGCCCCTACTTCTTGGCAGCTTTAACGAGTCACTTGGGCCTCTGTTGTAGTCCAAAGCTGAACAATTTAATTAATAAAAGCAGGGAATAGCAAAGAAATTCAGCGGCAGCAACACAGCCCCTAGTGTGGGTTCAAGCTAGCCACAGCCACCTGGGCTCCTCCCAACTTCCCCCAGCACAGATGGTTGTCAGTTCAGTCCATCCCTACCCAACGATGCAGCTGCTGCCCGAGGCTAACCTAGGGAAGTGAGGAGTGCTGGGCTAGTAAACTGCCCTCTCCATGGGGACTTTACTTAGCACGGGGATTTTGTCTCCCCAAGGAAGTGGAATCTGTCCTGGATGTTGTTTCTCAACTGAAATCCAGGGTGGCTTCTGAGTGGCTGAGATCCTGGACCATGTCTGAGGTATCAGATGATATGGAGGTCCACCTAGCATTCTTAAGTCTACCGTTGGTTGGAATGTGGGGCTCTGTCATTGACATCAAATGACATCATACTGTTCCAGTGTTTGAGAGGAAAGGGAGATGGCACAGCCTCAGCCTCCCCCAGCTCCCGGCAGCATATGGCCATGGCCTGTGTTGGGCCTCGCACTCCAGTGGCCTTCAGCCTTTCTCTGCTTTTTCTCCCTTCCCTCCAGGTTCCTCCTCGAAAGTCCATCTGCTAGACGTGGTCACCCATCTGGTGATTACGTGTCCTGGGTGCCACGCATCTCAGGAAAAAAAGAACACCTGAATTTTTCCACTACATCAGCTCGCTGGCCAGGTATGGAGACAAACCTTCTCCTTCCAAGTGCATAAGGAAGGGAAGAGTCCTGAGGTGGGAAAGCCGGGGGATAAGGTCATCCTGACTCTGCTTGCTTCTTGGTGAGCCTTCTGCATGGCTCTCTTCAATTCCCCCTCGTGTTCCCCACAATGACTGCTGGGAACATTCTCCACCCTCCACAGCTGCTTAACACTTCTCTCTTAACCCATTCTCTCTTACTTTCCTTCCCAAGTCTCAGAGAAAGAGGTGTCATGGAACATCTGAACTGAGGTCAATTCAGTGACCAAGCTACTCCAGAAATGGGAGGTGGAGGCAGAGGCAGAGGCAGAGGAGGCCTGATTCTGCCTCTGACTCCATCTCCAGGATGTTCTGAAGCAGACCTCCCACCTCTTGGTATTCAGTGAGGCAGATGCTATCAGACCTGGATGATGTTAGCTTTTGCTTCACTGTATTCCTTTGGTCACATGGGAGTTGAGGTGGGGGGGCAGTTATTGGGAAGTGACAGGAATGTAAAAAATCAATAAAACCTTTCTTTAAAAAGTAAAGAGGTGTCCATACCTCCCCTCTGCCAAATCCTACCCCTTGACCTATGCCTAGTCTCTGGTCCTTGGTCCTAGTCTCTGGCACTTCCTCTAGAACCTTACTCCCTCAGGGGCTCCCTTCCACACCTGTAGTCTACTACCTCTCTGCCCAAAGGAGGACATGGTTTCTTAACTTCCTCCAGCAACATCTGGTAGTTTAGGAGAGGAGCAGAGAAGGGAGATCGTGTGGGTGAGGGGAAGGTTGATATAGGGTTGAGGATTAGCAGGGTTTGAGTAATAGAAGGATAAGGGGGCAAAGGATTCCAGGATGGGAGACGGTGTCCTGTTTAACTGGTTACCTGGAGGCTCCTAACTATTGAAGGGGGAGGAAAGGGAGACCAGAATTGGGGTGATTGAGTGGGAGAATAGGAAGGAATGGGAGAACCAGAGGTTGAGGTGAAGACAGAGCAGATTCAGGAGGGATCTGAAATGGTGACAGAACATTCTAAGAAGGGGGAATTGTAGATTTCAAGATTTTGGAGGTGGAAAGATTCAGAGGCTTGAAGAAGGCTGAAGAAGAGGAAAGCCTCCTTTGACAGAGGAGAGATGGAGGAGGATAAACTGGAAGGCCTGGGTGTTTGAAGGGTCATAAAGAATGAGGCTATTAGGGTAATGGGAGGGGAAAAATTATATGTATGTATGTATGTATGGATAGATAGATAGATAGATAGATAGATAGATAGATAGATAGATAGATAGATAGAGATAGAGGTCACAGGGTGAGTTGAAGATGAAGGGGTGATATCTGGAGAATAAAATTAAGGGGTGAGAGAGGATTATACTAGGAGAAGGAGAAAGGGAGAGGTAGAATGGGGTACATTATCTTGCACAAAACAGACAAGAAAAAGTTCTTACAGTGGAGGGGAAACAGGGGAAGGTGAGAGGAAATGATGGAATCTTATTCTCATAGGATTTGGCTTAAGGAGGGAATAACATACACAATTGGGTATGGAAATCTGTCTTACCCTACAGGAAAATAGGAGAGGAAGGGGACAAGAGAGCAGGGGGATGATACAGAGGAGGGCAGATTGGGAAAGGGGGTAATCAGAAGGAAGTACTTCTGAGGAGGGCCAGGGTCAAAAGAAAGAATAGAATAAATGGGGGGGCAGGATAGAATTAAGGGAAATAGAGTTAGTTTTTCACAACATGTTTACTATGGAAGTGTTTTGCATAACTGCTCATGTATGGCCTGTATTGACTTGCTTGCCTTTTCAATGAGAGTGGGTAGGGTGGAAGGAAGGGAGAAAATTTGGAACCCAAAGTTTTAAAAACACATGTTTAAAAAAAAATGTTTCCACATGCAACTGGGAAATAAGAAATACAGGAAATGAGGTACAGAAATCCATCCTGCCCTACAGGAAAATAGAAGGGGAAGGGGATAAGAGAAATGGGGGGAGAAATAGAAGGGAAGGCAGACTAGGGGAAGGGGTATTCAGAATGCATACCATCTTGGGGTGGGGGGAGGGGCAAGATGGGGTGAAAATATGGAATTCAAAATCTTGCAAAAGTAAATGTTGAAAACTAAAAATAAATTTATATTAAAAAATTTTTAAAAAGAATGAGGCTAGAGGTGGGGTGGTGGAGAGGAAGACTGCAGCAGATACTGAACTAGTTAGAGAAAGGAGAGGGGGTGACCTGGTGGCTGGTAGATGATGCCAACAAGCACCTGATCAGACTAACACAAACAGATGGGGTGAACTTCGGAAGAGGAGAGTCTGCCAAGGTGGTGATGGCAGTGAGGAGAAAGGAAGATGCTGCCTTCCTCTCCTGGCTGTAAGGGGGGAAGCAGCAGCAGGTACTAAAGAGGGTAACAAAGGATGAGCGACTTTCTGGCCAAAGCCAGATTTCCCTGAACAGCAGAAGGTAGAGGGAGTGTCAGAGGAAGGGGCCTCCAATAAAGAGGAGCCTCCTACAGCAGAGTAGAGTGGCAAGTTGCAGGATAAGCAATCAATAAACATTTATGAAGTGCTTACTATGTGCCAGGCACTGTGCTAAGCTCTGGGGATTCAGAGAAAGGCAAAACCATGGTCCTGCCCTCAAGGACCTTAAATTTAAATGGGCAGGGGAGGGGGGGAGAAAGGGAGCAACCTGTATATTTCTACAGGGTAGATGGAAAGTAATCTCAAAGGGTAGGCACTAGTAGTAGGGGAAGGAAGCTGGAAAATTTAGGAGGAAGAGGTGAGGAGGGATGGCATTCCAGGTGTGGGGGAGAGCTAGTACAAAGGCCTGAGGTCGGGAGATGGAGTGTAGTGTGTGAGGAAAAGCAAGTAGGCCAGTGTGACTGGATTGTAGACTGCATGGGAAGGAAGTAAAGTGTAAAGAGACTGGGAAAGTGGGGAGGGGTCAAAGTCATCAACATTTTAAAATTTATATTAACATTTTTACATTAAATTACTAACAAAAACTATGAGGAAAAGATAGAAAAATAAATTCCATACAAGATAAGTACAAAATGCTGAACATATCTGTGAGTTTACGTACCATACAGGACTTATACAAATGTAGTTAAAAACAGTCTTTACAGAAATGAAAGAAGTCCCAAATAGTTGGAGAGATATCCATTGTTCATGGCTAGGCTGTACCGATATACTAAAAACCAATGAAACTGCCTATAAATTAATCTATGCTAAACCACCAAGGTTTTACTTCATAGGACTAGACAAAATAAAAACAAAATCCATGTGAAAGAGTGAAAAGCCAAGAATTTCAAGGAACAGAATACCTTTAAAAAATGGAATAGTGGGGGTCTGGCATTCTCAGCTCTCAAAGTAAAACTGTTTTGGTACTGCAGTTAAAAAATAGAAGACTAGATCAGAAGCAAAAAACTAAAAAAGCCAGACTAGAAGAAGAGCTAATGAACATGACAGCCCAGGGTTCAAGAAACCCAAGAGCACAAACTAGGGAGGGGGAGATTTCTTATTCACAAGGGCAAACTGGAAAGAAATGGGAGGGAAAGAAAGCTGGTTTAGTCCAACAGCTTACAACCAGGGATGGGGAACCTGAGGCCTCGAGGTCACATGTGGCCCTTTAGGTCCTCGAGTTCGGTCTTTTGACTGAACCCAAACTACAGCATGTTCCAATTTCTAGACCTAAGGGTGTGGGTTCAGCATCTGTCCGTTCTCACTTGCGTCTCATCTGAGATTCGCATTCAGTTTGCTGCTCTGTGCTTTGACAAGCTTTTCTTCAGTTGTACTGCCTTCTTATCTGTTAAAGCATGTGCCTGCCTGCACCTCCATTTTAAGAATTAATCATTAAGATGCATTTGCTGTAAAGATTGGTGAGGCAGGCTCTTCCAAGCAATCTGTAACTCACTCTGCACCTCATGGTGCCTGATATGTAGAGTCGGTCTATTTCTGCCTTCTCTGGAAATCCTGCCCAATCAGTTTGCTTCAAGCAAAATTGCCTGCTCTTTGGGCAGGCAGTTCTACAGCTGATCTTGAGCTGCCATTGCTTCAAGATAAGCTTGGCTGCTGGCCTCCTTAAGTGGTTCTTTTTCTGCTTGGGGCATAATGGCCTTAGGACTGCTTTTCCTAAGCCGGGTATTCAAACCGACTACCCCTTCTCTCCATTTGTCAGATCTTTGGTTATGGAGAGCTGTAGGAATTTGGACTACCTTCTCAATGGAGTCCACCAAAGTCCCTGAAACTGCCTCTGAGATCAGGAGTATTAGGAATGATACCCACAGTCCTTTGCCAGGCCTTCCAGGACTGCCTTGTGCTAATACCCTTCACCCACACTGGACTGTTTACTGTCCCCTTCACATCTCCTGGAGTGTCCTACCAATACGCTTTAGCTACTGTAGATCTGACCCTGCCCTGCCCAAACTTAGGACCCAGTTCATTGCTTTCTGTATTCTCGAAGCTGGAAGCAGTGTCTTCACTGAACAAAAGAGTACTTTCTACTCTTTTATATTCTATTTGAATTCTACTTATCCGAGTAATTCCTTACTTTTCTTAAGACTATAAACTCCTGTCTGGCAGAGACCATATTTCCTTAGAATTCTTCTGTATGTTCCAAAGCATGTAACACAGTGCCTTGTCTATAGCAGCCACTGAGGAAACTGATTGAACTTTAAAAAACCCACCCAAAGTGAAGTGGGGGTTCCAGAGGTCACAGTAAAAGGGGGGGGCACAGGGGAGGATAGGGACTGGGAAGGGGCCAAGATGACTTCAAGAGAAGTAGGGGAGGAAGGTTTTTTTTGTTTTTTTGTTTTTTTGGGGTTTTTTTGTCCTGACCAGGGTTTCTTTACCTGGGATCCAGGAACTTTAAGAAATGTGGATAACTTTTCTCTTTTTAGTAGAATCAGTTTCCTTTGTAATCCTATGCATTTTATTTGATGCATTTAAAAAACTTGTTGGGGGAGGGGAAGGGGTCCTAGGCTTCCTCAGACTACCAAAGGATTCTATGACAATAAAAAGGGGAAGAAACCCTGGGCTGGATGGCAGGGGTTCCGGGGTCCAATGGGAATGCTGCCATGGTGCGCCATTAATGCTGCTGTCTCTCCCAGGTGTATCCCCTTCAACCGCTTGGAGCAAGGGATGGAGAGACTTAGGATCGTCTCTTCAGGGGCCGTGGTGAAGAGGAGGCCCCTGCCAATGGCACCTTTCAGGTAAGTTCAGTGTCCTCAGCTGCCTGAGGTGGGGGCCACGGGGTGGTCCCAGGCCCGAGGAGGCTCGGGTGGAAGAAGGAGGCAGTGAGAGGGCCGTTGGGCCTAGCTCTGGAAAGGGTCCACCTCCGAGGGTCTGTTTGGCTCTGTTCTGGAGGCTGGCTTCTCAGCCAAAGAGGCAGCTAAGTGGGGCTGCGGTGGATAGGGTGCTGGCCTGGCATCAGAGGACCCAAATTCAAATCCAGCCTCAGGGTGGCCTTGGGCAAGTCACTTGATTATTGTTTGCCTCAGTTTCTTCATCTGTAAGATGGAGTCTGTAAAAGTACCTGCCTCCTGGAGTTGTTGTGAGGCTCAAATGAGGTGAGCTTTGGGAAATGCTCTATAAATGTGAGCTATTATTATGGGCTGCTATAAGGCGACAAGGTTTTGTTCGGCCCCAGTGACTGACAGAGGTCATCTGAGGCTCCAAGGGGTTGTGGTCCACAGGAGTGAAGGAAGGACCAGGATCAAGAAATAATGCCGGGAGTCTTAAAGTCAATGTGTCAGTCAGTCCCTGCCCTCGAGGAGCTCCCAGTCTACGCCTGCAGACAGGAGAGATTGGAGAGCGCCTCCGAGGGAAGGCAGTGGTGACAAGGCTTGTTGCACAAAGTGACATTTTAACAGAAACCCGAAAGAAGCCATGAGGCAGAGATGAAGAGCAGCTTCTCAGGCTTGGGGGGCACGTGCAGTGTTACACCGGGGCCTGGGGAGATCCCTTTGGAGGCTGAGCGAGGTTGGTACCGCCTGCCCCCCTTCCCCCAGCAGCTATCGCAGCAGCCCTGGTGTGAATGATGAGGGCCTAAGCTAGCTGGGGGCATCGTCAGGGGAGAAGAGGGGCACATTTGAGATGTTACAAAGGTCCACACAACAGGACTTGACCACGGATTGGATGTGGGGGGTGAGACAGAGTGAAGAGTCAAGGATGAAATGGAAATTGGGAGCCTCAGGGCCTGAGAGGGCCATGGTATCCTTGGCAGGAATTGACAAGTCGGGAAGAGGGGAGGGCTTAATGGTGAGGGGCGGGATGATGAGCTCAGTTCGGGCATGGCGAGTTTCCGAGGTCTAACATTCCTTTTTGAGACATCTGACAGGCCGCTGGAGGTTAGCAGAGATGAGCATGTTTGAGAGTCATCTTCACACACATGATGGTTGATCACCAAGAAAGTAGTGTAGAGGGAGAAGGGAAGAGGGCCCGGGACAGAGCCCCGAGGGAAACACACCTACAGCTACAGGGCGTGATGTGAAGGATCCAGCAAAGCAGACGGAGAAGGAGCGCTCAGAGAGGGAGGAGGGGAGCCAGGAGACAGAGGGAGTGTCCTGGAAACCTAGAGGGAAGAGAGGACCAAGAGGGAGAGAGTGACCACCAGTGTCAAAGGCTGCAGAGAGGGAGCTCAGGGAGAATGAGGACTGAGAAAAGGCCACTGGATTTGGTAACTAAGAGATCATCAAAAGCAGTTTCAGTGGATCGCTGAGGGGGAAGCCGGATTGCGAGAGGAGGCACTGAGGGCAGGCGGCCTTTCCCAGGAGTTTGGCTACAAAGGGCAGAGGAGGGATAGTTACCGGGGACGGAAGGACCAAGTGAGGGGCTTTTGAAGATGGGGGAGCTGTGGGCATATTTGTAGATAGGAAACAGACAGGAGCCGGGGAATGACTGAAGATGAATGACAGATGGGGATGACAGAGGGGCACCCTGCTGGAGGAGATGGGAAAGAATGGGGTTACCTGTGCAAGTAGAGGGTAAATAGGGCCACTATGTTTTATGACCCACTGTCAAGGCCAAGATAGCGGCACAAAGTCTGCTCAGAACTCAGCGGTGGTTTGGGGAAGCCCTTATCCTGGCATTCAAGGCCCTCCACAATTTGGTACCGTCCTAATTTTCCAGCCTCATCTCACCTTGCTGGCCTCCATATGTGCTACTCTGCAGGCAGATTGTATGATTTGCTGGGTTCCATCCATGTCCAACATTGTCCTGGCTCCTGGTCTTTGCTCTTGTTGGCTTCTGCTTCTGAAATAGCCTCCCCACCCCCATCTCTGCATTTTGAAATCCTATCCATCCTTTAAGACCTAGGTCAAATGTCATCTCCTTTAGGAAGCATTCCCTGACACCCTAAGTGGCGACAAGCCAGCTCCTCCCTGACCTCATATAGCACTTGCTCTGAAGCTGTCTTATGCAGTCATAATGTATTAGCTTGCAATAGACTTATTTGTGTATATATGCTATTCCCCCCCCACCCAGATTGTGAGCTCCATGAGTGCAGATGCCTGGTCTTGTTGAAGAGCTTCTGTCATGCTCTGTCTGTACTAAATGTATTCTGAGGCAGATGATGGGAGACTTGGAAGGGGCTTCAGACACCTCCTAGTCTAAACCTGTGTCTAACAATAATGCCCTCAACATTCCCAAAAGACCTTTGGTGATATTTAGCTCCCTACCTCTTCCTTCTTGTGGCACTGCCATCAGGGCCCAGCAGAACAAGCCCAATCCCTCAGTAACAGTCCAGTCCTTCAGATACTTAAAGGCAGCTCTCTTGCCCAGCCCCCTCAGCCTTCTCTGCTCCAAGAGACTGTGTGTGTGTGTGCAGTCTGTCAATGTCCTTGCTGACGTGGCATCCTGAACAGAATACAGATGGGATCAAGTCGGAGCTCCTGGAGTGGGGTGGGGTGGAGTGGGCCTCTTACTGCCCAGGTGGACCTCTCACCTTTGGAGCTCTCAACGTTCTGCCTGAGGGGGCAGTGTTGGCTGTATTACAATGGAGAGTCTTTTTCTGATGCCACTGGCCATTCCGTTTGTTCCTATTCTATTTAGTTACAGAAGTAGAGCCAGCAGGACTTGGTAACTGCTTGGCTATGGGGGAGGAAGGAGAGTGAAGAAAGTTTTTAAGTCTTTGTAAATCCCCAGGGTCACTCACAGTCCTGAATATGAGGATTCCTCTCTTCCTGTAGTTCCTAGCAGTTGACTTTGGTTGACAAGCAGTCAAGAAGCATTGAGTAAGGGCCCACTCACTATGTGTTAGACCCATGCTAAGTGCTGAAAAGAAAAGCAGAAGGCAGTCCCTGCTTCCAGTCTAAGGGCAGAGACAACAAACGAGCAAATAAGTACAAATCAGCCCTAGACAGGCTAAACTGGCAATATTCAACAGAGAAGAGGCCCTGGAATGGAGAGAGGTTGGAGAAGGCTTCCTAGAAAGCGGGATTTGAGTTGGGACTTCAAGGAAGCCAAGGAGGTCAGTGGCAGGAGTGGGGAGTGTATTCTAGGCCTGGGGGACAGCTAGAGAAAATGCCCAGAGCCAGAGGGCCTTGCTCCTGGAACAGCCAGGAGGCCGGGTCAGTGAATAGAAGAGGAGGAGAATGCCTCAGGGAGTGAGGTGTCAGGAGACTGGAAAGGGAGGAGGGGACTAAGTTGTGAAGGGCTTTGAATGCCAAACAGAGCATTTTCTATTTGCTCCTGGAGGCCATAGGGAGCCACTGGAGTTGGGGGGGGGGGTTGAGACACGTGATCAGAGCTGCACTTTCAGAAGATCCCTTTGATAGCTGAATGAAAGATAGACTGCAGTTGCGAGAGACTTGAGGCGGGCAGACCCACCAGTAGCTGCTGCTGTAGTCCAGCAGTGAGGTGTCAGTGCACAGAAAGGGGCACATTTGAGAGATGTTGCCAAGGTGCGGTCAGCCTTGGCCGTGGCTTCGATATGGGGGGTAGTGGTGCTTGGCTGGGAGGAGGTGGGGAGCCCGGGGCCTCTCCCTCCCAAGCATCTTCCTCGCTTCTTGAGTTTTCTGTCACTCCTAGGAAGCCATGGTAAGTGTTGCTTGTGGTTCTGTCTGCTCTGACTGGAGGCTCCCCGGGTAGCTCTCTCTATACTGGCCAGTTGTTTCAGCCCACCCAAGGCCAAAACCCCTCTCTACTGAAACAAACCTTGTTCTGTCATTGGGAGTCTTGGCCACCAAGGGAAAAAAGCCTCAAGGCCTCTCTTTGTCTGTGGAGGCGTTGAAGCTCTCCTGAGCCTCAGAGCAAGGACTTCCTGTTACCGAGGCCATTTCTTTTCACCATGGTTTCTTTTTTGTTTTCTAGAATTTGGAGTCTCCTCACCACCAACTCTCTATTTGTAATCTGTGACCATAAATACCGACATAGGGTGAGGGGGCACCGTCTTGTCCATCCAAGGAATGAGCGGTAGTACCCTTCCTTCCCCACCCTCCACCGCTAGTTGTTCTCAACTGAGCTCTCAAAAGTATTTGGGTGGGGGATTGAAATCACCCAAGGCTATCATCTGTATACCACGGTGTCCAGCACTTCTCAGCACTTCTCGATCATCTCCCAAGTCTTACGGTGGGGGAGGAGGAAGAGTGATCCCCATATGTACCTAAGCTTAATTTCTCTAACATAATAATACAACATCAAATCATTAGAAAGGCTGTCCTGTCAGCCCCCAGGGTCCCAGGATCATTCTGGCTCTGATCAGGAAGCAAGGGCTATGTTGGGCAAGGTCATGCTTACCCTCCCTAATGTCACCTCACAGCCAATAATAGCTAGTATTTATATAGCTGAGGTTTGCAAAGCACTTTACATGTGTTAACTCATTTGATCCTCCTGACAACCTTGTGAAGTAGCTGCTATTATTAGCCCTGTTTTACTTTTGGGGAAACTGAGGCAAACAGTTAAGTGACTTGTCCAGGGTTACAGAGCTGGTAAGTGTTTAGGGCTGAATTCAAATGCAGACATTCCTGACTTCAAGTCCTGAACTCTATCTAGCCACTGTGTCACCCAGCTGCCTCATAGATCAGACTTCTCTGGTCATGGTGGAGTGGAAATAGTACCAGGTCTAGAGTCAAAAAGATCTTGGTTTGAATTCTGGCTCTGCTGGCTATTAGTTGTGTTACCTTAGACAAGCCACTTTATGACTCTTGTCCTCAGTTTCTTCATCTCTAAAATGAGGAAGTTGGACTTGAGGATCTTTAAGATCCCCCCTAAAGCCTTAGGTCCTTTGGGGCTCTGGGAAAGCTCCTTAATCATGAATTTAAGTCTTCATGGGATCTATTTGTGCTTCTATCTTGTTCTGCCTCTTGGGATAATGAGTTCAAGGAACTTTTATCTATCTCAGATGTACTAAAATAAGGCTCTTTCTAGTTTCAGCGCCCTCCTAACTCTAGCATTCTGGGATTTAGTAAACTAGTCCTTGACCCTTGCCTCCCCATTCCCCATGCCTTCAGTTTACAGATTCAATCCTTTCATCTCTCACTCAGCCTTCACTTTTCCAGAATGAGAGAGCAGGAGAGAGGAGAAGGGAGCACAATTGAGGGGGAAGGAAGAGGGCTAGAGAGGGGAGGAGGGAGCAAGAGAGAGAAAGGGAAAAGGGGAGAGCTAGAGGGGGAGGAGGAAGCAGAGTGAGAAAGAGGGGAGGGCTAGAGAGGGGAGGAGGGAGCTGAGAGAGAGAGGGGGAGGGGGAGGGCTGGAGAGGGGAGGAGGGAGCAAAGTGAGAAAGAGGGGAGGGGGAAGGCCCCAAGATGGGAGGAGGGAGAAGAGTGAGGAAGGAGAGCAGGAAGGCAGAATGAGAGGAAAGAAGGAAGGCAGAGCTAGGAAGAGGGGGAGAGCTAGCTGCAGGAGCATATAGAGTTGCCTGGGTTCTGGGCACATGTGTGTTCTGTAATCTCATTTTGGTCTTCCATGCTGCACATCAGTCCTTTTTGCTTTCTGCTCCACTCTGTAGCCCAGTCCCCTTGGCATCTGTCCGAGAGCTTTTCTCCTCTCCAGTCACCCATACCACAGCTCCCCCACCCTCCCCAGCAAAAAGGGCTTGCCTCCTACTTTCCCAAGCTCCTTCTTCTCTCAATTAACACCTCCAGTCTCCTCCACCTCACCCCTACTCTCTTCCTTTAGTTTCAGAGGAAGAGCTGGCCCTTCCCCTTTCCTAAGCCAACCTTTTGGTCTGGGCCCTTGATCCCATTTCTTCCTGTCTCCTCTAGGTATCACGGTCTCACTCACTCCCTTATTTTCAATCTCTCCTTCCCTCCTGTTTCAAGCATTCCCCATCCTAAAAACAAAGCCCCCAAACCTTTCACTTGCTCTTACCTCATCCCTGCTCCTGTTAAGGGCTGTATCTGTAGAAGGCTCATGTTCCACCTCCCTCTCCCCAAATCCTGCCAACAACTTGTTTTCTTTCTTTTTTTTTTATTATTTTTTAAAATATTTTTTAACAACTTGTTTTCTTGCAGCCACCTTCCAATCCTACCACTCTACCCAGACTGCTTTCGCCAAGGGTACCAATGATCTGTGCAATGTGAAATGTCACCTTTTCTCAATCTTGGTCCCTTCTTTTTTTTTGGCTAATTAACTTCTCTGCACCTTTTGACACTGCCTACCATCTCCTCCCTTTAGCAACTCTTTTCTCCCCCTAGGCTTCCTCGCTCTGCCTTGATTTTCCTTCCTGTCTGCTCCAGCTCTGCCTCCGTGCCTTGGCATCCCTGTGTCTGGAGTGCACTCCTTCCTAACATCTGTCTTGTAGGACCCCCAGCTTCCTTCAAACACAATTTAGGGGCCACCTCCTATGGGAGGCTCTTCCTGCTCCTCTCTCTGACCCTCCCCATTTTTTGTTAGCACATCTCTCTCTCTTAAAAGTACTTTGTATCTACTTAACCCTTTGTTTTATTCTCCCCAAATAGAATGTAAGCTCCTTGAGGATGGGGCTGGCCTTTGTTTTACCTTTGTATTTCTAGTGCCTAGCACAGGGCATTGCACATAGTAGGAGGTGGTTAGATTGCTTGATCTATGTTGTCAGTGTGGGTGCTTCCCCTGCTGAACCAGTGGGCAACCTTTCCTGGGCTTAGTAGGGGCTCTTTAAGAGTTACCAGGGCTGAAGAATGCATCACCCTTTGGCCCTTACTCCAGATCTTTCCAGCTTAGTAGTATCTAGTAGACCTTAGCTTTCACTGATCAATTAGGTCCCTTGAGAACCCAGGCTCCTTTCCGTATTAGGGTAAGGCAATGAAATTGGACTTTGGTGGGAAACAAAATTCAAATAAGATTCAGCCGCTTTCCTCAAGTATAATAAGATCGTAGCTGTAGCAAAGGTATCATCCAATTCTCTCATTTTACAGATGAGGAAATTGAGGCTCACAGGCAGAGGTGTAGGATTATGAGGTAGGAATGCTGGAACATCTGGCCCCACTCAGTGCTTGCCTTTGCTATGGGGGGGGAGGTAGGAGGTAGGTGATAAGATTTGCAGTCAAGTGACTACAAGCCAGTATATGGTAAGCATCCTAATAGAGATACAAGCAAAGAGCCACAGGAAGTGGAAGGCATTTGGTGTGGTAGTGTGCATATGTGCCACAACTCCATAACCAGGGTACTGATTGGCTATGGGCCAACTTGAATGAGAGTGGGGCAAAAGCATCGAGAATTTGCAGGGCCAACTCTTGGGTCTTTATCTTGATAAATGGGAGTTGTAGGTGAAGGATTCTGGGACCCATCTGGAAGGCAGCAGAGTGCTATAGACATGGCCAATGTAGGGGAAAGAGCATTAGGCTCAGTCAGAGTCAGTAGACCTGGGTTCCCAGGCCCTCTCCAGCTTATCAGCCATTTGCATTAAGTATTTGCGCCCCAAGGGTGCTCGTTTGCAAAATGGGGATAACATTTGCCAAACCAGATTGTTGGGTGGATCATGTGACAGTGATGTGGGATGCATTTGTAAGTGATTTGTAAACTATAATAGCGCTCTGCTCCAAGTGAAGAAAGGCCTAGCAACACCCTGTGTGGAGTGCTGGTGTCTGCCACAGGAGCCAGGGCCCACTCCTATCCTCGAAGCGACCTTGGATATTTAACCTCACAGTGCCTCAGTTTCTTCCCGTGTAAAATCAGGAGGTTGAACTAGGTGGCTTCTGCGGTTCCTTTGAGCTGTGATTGGGTGACCATATGGTCCCCGGGAACCATTTGATCCAGCCACCAGCCCTCGCAGGGACTAGGTGGCTTTTGCAACCCTCCAGTGCGGGAGAGCTCACTAGCCGGGGAGACAGCCCTTGGAAGTCGGGCACAGCCCCCTGGGGTCCCTTGCAGCTCCCAAGTGTGTCGAGATGGTGCCAGCTGGGCAGTGTGCCTGCATGTGCTTTGGTCGTCACTGGGGAGAGGAGAAGTTGGAGGGCAGGTGGCCCGCTTGGCAGCCAAATCGGGTCTAGCACAGAGAGCCCCGGATCTGGAGACGGCAGCGTGCCCGGCTGGGGGCGAGGAGCCGCGCCTCCCTCTTCTCACCCGCCTGCAGGCGGGGCTGCCAGGCGGCCCGCCCGCCGCAGTCCGGGTCCCCAGCGGCCAGGCGCGCAAGGGGGTGCTGCTGCTGGGGTGGGTGGCTGGCTGAGTGGGGACACGCTGGCACTGGCACGTTCCCGGGCCGAGGGCGTCTTTCTGGCCCGAAGGACAAAGGTCACCGAGTGCCAGGGCTGCACAATCAAGCGCCGAAAGGGGGCCAAGGCAGGTGCATCGCGCATCTACCCAGGGCCCCGGGGCCGCGCCCGCGTGAGCCGAGCCGTGGCCGCCGCCGCCACCAGGCGGGAGGCAGCAGGCAGCCATCGGGCGGGGCCATCGGGCGGGAGTCCCGGCGGCGGCAGCCATGGCAGGCATGGCGGCCGCTCGGGGTAATCCTTAGGGCCTCGGCGCGGCCGCAGCAGCGGCGGCGGCGGCGGCGGCGGGAGGAGGAGGAGGCGGCGGCGCCTTCGGGGACTGCAGCAGCAGCAGCAGCCGCCGCAGCCGCCGCCACAACAGCAGCCTCAGCAGCAGCAGCAGCAGCAGCAGCAGCAGCCGCCGCAGCCGCCGCCACAGCAGCAGCCTCAGCAGCAGCAGCAGCAGCAGCAGCAGCAGCTACGAGCGGGCGCGGCCGGGGCAGGGGCAGCGGCGGCGGGAGCTCCGGGAAGCAGCAGCAGCGGCGGCAGCTGCAGCAGCAGCAGAGGGGGCGGCGGCGGCGGGAGCCTGGGCAGCAGCAGCAGCCCCAGCCCCAGCCGCAGCCGCAGCAGCCGCAGCCGGAGGAGCAGCAGCAGCAGCAGCGCCGCCGCCACCACCGGGGCCATGGGGGCGGGGCCAGCTGAGGCAGCGCGGAGCCGCCGCTACCTTAAGGGCCAACTGGCGGCCCCCGAGCTGAGCGCCGACGAGGGCGGCGGCGGGGACAGCGGGGACGGCAGCGGCGATACTGCTCCCAGCGCCGGCGGGGGCTCGGGGAGCACGGGCACGGGGGGCACGGGGGGTACGGGCACGGGGGGCGCCGGAGGCTGCGGCCTGCTGCTGCGGGAAGGGGCCGATGGCAGCGGTAGCACCAGCAGCGGAGGAGGAGGAGGCGGATCAGGAGGAGGAGGCGGAGAAGAAGGAGGAGGAGGAGGAGGAGGCGGAGGCGGTGACTGTGTCGGGGACGGGGATAGCGAAGCCGACGGCGACACTCTGGCCTTCCCCATGCACACTCTATGGTACGGGGTTCCGGGGCTCCGGTCACGTGACGGGGGCCCCGGGGGGGTCCCCGCCTGCTCCTCACGTGACCCCGGCCGCCGCCGCCGGCGCCGCCGCTGCCTCCCCAGCTGTAGCCGTAGCCGTAGCCGTTGGCGTCGCGAGGCGCGCGCGGCCACCGTCCCGGGGGGCGCGGGCCCTGGCAGACGCGGCCGCTCGCGGCCCTCCGAGCCGGTAGTGGCAGGTCAGAGGCCCCTGCTTCCGGTCCCCGCCCGTCACCGCTCCCCCACCGCTCTCCCCCAAAGCCGCCCCCCGCCCCGGCCTCGGCCCGGGCCCCGGCCCCGGCCCCGGCCCTGGCCTCGGCCCCCCGGCCCCGGCCCTGGCTCGGGCCCCTGCCGCCCCTCCGCCTCCGCCGCCGCCGCCCGTGCCGGTGCCGGTGCCGGTGCCGGTGCGGGTGCCGGTGCCGGTCCCGTCCCTGGCCGACCTGCCGTGGAGCGCCCTGGCCGGCCGGCTCGGGGCCCGGGCCCGGGGAGACAGCTCGTCCCCGCTCCTGCCACCGCCCGCGTCCCCTCCCCGGCCGGTCCCTCGCCCGGCCCTGGCCCCAGTCCCCTTCCCACCGCTACCCCTGCTTCCTCCGCTCCCTCCCATCGGGCCGGCCTCTGGAGGATGGGGCCGCGACTTCGGCCGATGGGGCGCTCCGGCCTACCTGCTGGGGGCCACAGGGTCTGCGTAAGGGGATGGGAGGGGTCCGGGGCTGGCGGGTGGGTGGGCCGGCGCCGGGGCCAGGGCGGGGCTGGGGCTGGAGTCGGGGTCCGGGTCTGGGTCTGATCGAGCCGATCCAGCGGCCTAATAGAGAGCCCGAGGTCAGTAATTGTCACTGGAGGAACTCTCGGCTGGCGCAGGTAACAGAGCTAGCCCCTTCCCCCCCCCACCCCGGCAGGGAGCAGTCCCTTCAGCACTCGGCTGGGAAACAGATCCATTCTGGTTACAATGTAATAATCCAGCTCCCAGCAGAGGAGAGGTGCGGTGCGGGGGCCGGCAGCCTCCCTCTTGCGCTATTCCAGTGAGGCCTGAGTCGGGGGTAAAAGGCGTACATTAAGGGCATGAAATCGATTCCACTTGTTTATAAATTAGGCTCCTTATCTCACCCTTCCAGGATGATGGGGAAAGTGCACTGTTGAGGGCATTAGAGTGGAACAGCCTCTTTTTTGTCGCTAAGTGAAAGCAGACACATGCCAGGTTGTTCGTGGGAAGCAGCATGGTTTACTGCCCTTGGAATTAGGTAGATCTAGGTTCAAAGTCTTGCTCCTGAAGGCAGCTGCCTTGCTCTCAACCTCTCAGTGCCCCAGAGGCAACTTTCTGGAAGAACATCCTAAATTTCTCATGCTAATAGAATTACAGCTCCAGCTGGAGAGAGAGAGTGTGTGTGTCTGTGTGTGTCCCATGGTTTGTAATAAACATTTCTCATTTATGTGGCACTTTAAGGTTTACAAAACACTTGTCTTCATTCATTCAACCCTCCTGGGACCCTGTGAGGGAGATTCCATCATCCCCGATTTACAGATTAGGAAGATAGGGTTCAGTAATTTACCCAGAGTCAAATACCCAATAATGGCCAGAAGCAGGATTTGAATCCAGCTCTTCCAGGTGCCGAGTCCAGCAGCTGATCCTCTAAGTCCCCAGTCTCTTCAGCTGTCCTAGGATGAGTAGTTTGGTGGCTGAATAGCAAAGACCCTGTTGGGAGGAGGGAGACCAAAGGAGATTGAGTTTAAGCCAACAGAGCCAACATGTAACACTCAGATTCTATGTTAGCTAGACCCCTTTCCAATTTTGTACTAATTGGAAATTGTATTAGTTGTCATTGGCCCATGGATACTCTTTCTTTTTAATTCTACAGGTGGGTGATGCCAATCACAGCCATGAAGAAAAAGGTAAGCATCCTGACACCATCAAAAAGCAACTGTGCATGAAGGCTAAAGTTCTGAAACATTTGGGCCAGGGACTGAAGGCTTGTCATAGCCCAGGCCTGAGTATGCCCCTGTTTCCTCCACGTTCTTCCAAATCTGGCTCCAGCTGACCTTTCTAGCCTGATCTCCTCTTCCTCCTGAATCTCTGGCTAGTCCCCATCCATGACCTTCTGCCTTCCTTGTCCAGTTTGGCTGCCTCTTGGGATCCTTACCCTTCCCTTTAAGACTCAGCCAAGTGGCTCCTCCTATGAGAGGCCTTGCTGATCCTCCTCCTCCTCCTCCTCTTCCTCCCACTATCCCCACCCCAACTTGTTATAAGTCTCCCTATCCAGAAAATACTTTTTGTATCCTTATCTCTGAATACTTTTCATCCTAGCATGGAGCTCCTTGAAAACAGACTGGATTGTTTCTGTCTTTGTGTCCTGGCTAGGTCAAGGCCAGTCTTGCATACAACGTGGTTAATATGGATGTTGGATTGGATTGCACATAGGTCTTTAATACATGTTGGACTGGAATTTATGCACGTGTAGTGACTGCTGGTCATTCTTGAGTTTCTTAAGGGTTTTACTTTTAAGGAAATATGCTTGTATGTGGTAGGGTATTTTAAAGACATTTTTACTAAGTTCTCCACTAGAGTCCTACTGCAATACTAGTGGGGAGGCCCTTGAAAAAGTTTTTAGTTCAATTTGCTTTCAGTCATCAGGTGTTTATTTTTCCTCTCTTCCACCCCTTCCCTCACCCCCCCAAAAAAAAGAAAAAGAAAACCCCTGTAATATACATGCATAGTCAAGCAAAACCAATTCCCCCACATGAGTCCAGCCCTGCCTCCCTGGCAGGAGTGGGGCTGCTATCTCTTGGAGGCAGGCACAGTGAAAGGGCCTCTTCCTGAGGCTGATGAGGGCCATTCCAGTCACCTTGAGAAAGTGCGGTAAAGCATGGGATGAAGGTTGATCCAGCTCAGCTGCGCTCTGTGGCCAGTGAAGCAGCTCTGACTAAATTCTGAGTCTTGAGTCACAGGATTTCAAAATAAAACACCTTCACCATTTTCCCAGTAGGTAAAACTTGAAGGGAAATGTTTCTTCCTTGTAAATTTTACTTAAGGGGGGAAATGTACAAGGTCTCTCTTTCATAGACAACTTGGGCATGGTTATTTGTGATTTAGGGAAAAAATCCCAAACTAAACCAAACCATCCCTGGCCTTTCCTCAACCTGCTCCTCAGAAAGGGCCTTCTTCCTTCTGTTGGGACAATTTCCTCTATTGGATTGACTTATAGGCTGAATTCCTTGAATGTCTGATGCAATTTTTATCATTCCTCTCCCAATATTTACAACTAGAAAGTCTTTATTTTGCATTTGGTATTTATAATTCCTTGATATCAAAAGCAAGGTCATAAGATTGTATATTTACATGTGGATAGGACCTTAGTGTCCCACTCTCCAGTTGTGCAAATTGGGAAACTGAGTCCCAGATTGGGGAAGTAATGGGTCTCATGCTATCCTAGTGGTAAGTAGAAGAGCTAGTTTTTCTGCTTCTAAATTCAGCCCTTTGCACTGCCCCTGGGTGCAGGGAGCTTAGAGGTCAGTCATCTCCAGGCCCTTTTCCACCCGAATTTTGTAGAGTGAGGGGGAAGGGCTTAGGGGCATCTATTCTTTCTCTCTGGTGTCTTTCTAGTACCAGGTAGCTCACTTGGCTCTGAAGGCAGGCCATGGGCCAGTCAGGTCTAAGGATCATGTTTGGTTCCAATCTGAAACTCTCAGCCGGCTTCCTTGTGCCATTTGGTTGTGCTCCAATCCTTTCACCGTGGATTTCATCTCAGTTTATTGTTGTGTATTAGATTGAGAACCCAGGTGAGAAGATGTGGAGAGGTCTGGAGGATGGTGGCCTTGTGTTGGTCTCTGTCCTCACTTTTCGCAAGTCAACTAGATTTCTTTTACTATTCTGTTACATTTCTTTGAAAAGAAGAAAAGCTTTGCTGCTGTCTTTTGTTTACATCTCCTTCATTTCCAACTGCATCACTCCCCTTTGCCTGCCCAGAGAATCATACCACGTTATGAGGAATTTTTAAAAAGTATGAAAAAAAGCCAGGTCAGCAAAGCCAAGGATTATATCAGCCAAGGTCAACGGTCTGTGCAGTCCATGGGGTGTTTCTTAGGTGACGACAGGTGAAGCATTTTTCTGCGTGCTGGTGGGAAGGAGAGATGCTGACCTCAAGGAGCCTTCATCATTCTTTCTTTTTCTCCTTCTGCATAAAAAAGGGATGGTTGGGTTTTACCTCGGTTGCTTAAGTGGTCTGGTTGATGTTTTCGTGATCATGGATGCTGGTGAAACTCCAGGCATTTTATCTTAGGGATGTCCAGGGAAGACAGAGCAGCAATTTCTCTCTCTCTTTTGTTGTTATTTAATTCTGTCTCTGTCTCACTCTCTGTCTCTCTCTCTCTCAAACAACCAGTCTCTTTCTCAAATCTCTTTTCGCCATGGCTGGTGGAGTCACCGAGCCAGAGGGCACAGACAGTGCTGTAGCTCTTAATGACCCAGCTCATTGGGAAGCCTGTTGTCCTGCCGGAGATTTTACGTGGGTTCAAAAGGAAGTCCTCTAAGACAGTTGGAACTTGTTTGTGCTTTGTTTCCGGAGCCTGCCACCTGTCCTGATGTCCCAGCTTTATCAGAATTGGAAGTTCTACAGGGACAGGAAGGTGAAGGGGGAAGCAGGAAGCCCTGTGGTGATAGCTCTGCTCTGTTAGTTCATCTTGCATCCCTTGCGTTGGCCTTTGACTGCGAGGTCCCAGGGCTTCTCTTTCAGGGAAGGTTTTCTCTACACTGCTTAGTACAGTGGTTCTGTATAGATTGAAGACTGAAGAAATGAGCTTTTTTTTTTCCCCAACGTGGTATGGGACGAGGACAGTGACAGAATTCCAGGCGTCCACCTTGGCAGTGTGGCATCAGTGCTGCTACTCATACACCAGTGTAGCTGGCTACTGATTATGGGCATCATTTCAATAAACTATGCAATGGGAGAGAAACAGGGGTGCCTGCATTTGTAGGTCCCTTTAAGTGAACGCTCTTATTAAACAGGTGCTGTTGATGGGGAAGAGTGGATCTGGCAAGACCAGCATGAGATCGATCATCTTTGCAAATTATATCGCGCGAGACACCCGCCGCCTTGGTGCCACGAGTAAGTTCCTTCCTCTTTGCCTCCAATCCTGAAACCACAGCTTTCAAAAACAGCCCCCAGAAACACGATTTCACCAGTTGGCCTTTGATTTTTGGCATGTGTTTTTGGAGGCCTCTTTCTTCAAAACACAGGCCTGTTTCCTTAGTGAACCAGATAGCTGCAGAAAACGGCCCCTCCCACATCTCCAAGAGGAGCTGCTACTTGGCAGAGTTTCTAGTGGAGCTGGTGGGCCAGGGGACAGGATGGTACCGCTGATGGTCTCTTCCCCCACCCCAGGGTCTGTGTGTTTCAGCTTGGATAACTTGTATCCACCAAGCTCTGGGAAGATACTTCTTAGTCAAGCTAACCCTAGCCCTTGGGCAACCTTGTTACCATGTAACCATGGCCCTATGCTACTGATACATTGATCAGCCTGAAGATTCTCTCCTGGCCAGGCAGCCTTTTTCCTCAGATACTTTCTTTCTGGTTTCATTCCCTGGTAAAAGCCTGGAGGCCAGTGGCTGTCTTGAGGCAAGGAGGTGCTTTGGTACTCAGGGTAGGCCCCATTCCTTGGAGCACCCACCCCTGGCCTTTTTAGTCCTTCGTAAGCCTCTAGAATGGTTTTCTAGACTTTCTCACAAAGGGTTTTCACATATCACATTGAATCTGAAAGCTGAAAGAAAAATCAGGGGTCATCCCGTCCAGGCTGCAGCTGAATGTTGTTCTGGCCTCTCTCCTGGCAGTTTGATGAGGAGAGGTACTTTCATGTAAGAGAACCAGGGCTGGCCCTGAAGTCAGGAAGATCCAAATTCAAATCCTGCTGCTTCTGCTGCTATTGGAAATCTGGGTTAGAGACTAGACAGTTTTCTCCCTCCCCTTCTGTTTGCAGAGAGTTTAATTCTCTTTGTCTGAGGCTTAGGTATTCAGACAAGTTTATTTTTCCAACTTTGGTAAGTATAATCCATCCTTGGCTGAAAGGAAAAAAAAAGAAGGAAACCGGCATTTATTAAGCGCCTGCCCTGCCCAGGGAACCATGCTAAGAGCTTTACTAATATGACCCTGGGAGGCAAACAGCCGGGACATGGAGTGTTCTGCACAAGGAGAAATGAGGGAGCAGCTGCTGGAGCTTGAGCCGGTAGAATATGGACGAGAGGAAGATGTAACACTGTTGTTTGTCCTTCATTCTCAAAAGGCCCATGACATCAGGGAGGTGATGCCATGACTCGAAGGTGAATAGGATTGCAGTGAGGGAGGGCGGTGCAAGGGCACCAGCCTCACTTTCTCCTCCTGGAGCCCTCTGGGTCCAGTGGCCAGGTAGCGATCAGGATGACTGGAGATGGCCCCCGGAAGGAGTGAGAAGACTGGCAAGGGGGGAGGGGGCTAGGTTATGAAGGGCTTCGAATGCCAACCGCAGCAGCTTGTATTTAATGATCTTGGGGGTCAAAATCAACTCGAGAACTGTGCTTTAGAAAGGTCACTTTGGCAGTCGAGGGTAGATTGGAGTCAAGGCAGCCTATGCATTAGGTACTGTGCTAAGCGCTGGGGATGCAAAGAAAGGCAAAAACCTGGCTCTGCCAGCGAGGATCTCACATTCAGGGGTGGGGAGGGGAGAGACACGTAAACAAGCATGTGTGTGCAAGAAATACGTAGAGTAAGTGGAAACTAATGTCCAGAGGGAGGTGCGGGGTGGGCAGGAGAAGGCCTCTTATAGAAGGTGACATTAGAACTGAGTCTTGAGGGCAGCCAGGGAAGCCCCAAGGCAGAGGCGAGGAGGGCCCACCGGCACAAAGGCAGAAGAAGGGGCCGAGTTTTGAAAGGCTTCTCATGCCAAAGAGAGCATTTGATATTTCATCTTGAAGGCGATAGGGAGCTGCTAGAATTTATAGAGTAGTGGGTACTGTAGGACAATCACTTTGTCCGCCAAATGGAGGGTAGGTTGGAGTGGAGAGAGACTAAGACAGGGAGAGCAACCAGAAGGCTGCTGCAGTGGGCCGGGGGTAAGGTGATGAGGGCCTGCCAGGCAGCTGCAGCGGGAGCGGAGATGGGAAGGGGAAATGAGGGGATGCGGCGGGGGCCGGGGTGGGGGGGCAGGCGGTAAGGATTTGACAAGCCTGGGTGGCTGGAAGGATGCTAGGACCCTTGACAGGGAAAAAAGGAAATAATAGGAAAATTGGGAAGAGGGAAGGGATTGGGGTTCAGTTTCAGATGTTCGCAGGACATCCAACTTGAGATGTCCAAAAGGCAGGTAGTGACATGAGGCTGGAGCTCAGGAGAGGAATAAGGTCTGGCTAGATGTGGCCCTCCATGTACTGAGGAGTCAGTGGTATAGGAACAGTAACTGGGCCCATGGGAGTTGAGGAGATCCCCGAGTCAGGCAGTAGAGAGGGAAAAGAGGAGAAGGTCAAGAGCAAAACCCAGGCCAGTGCCTTGGCTGAGGACCCAGTAAAGGAGATTGAGAAGAAACCACCAGAGATGGGAGGGGAACCAGGATAGAGCTTAGGCGGACAGAAGTGCTGAGTGGCAGCGGCAGGGGCGGCCGTAGAACTGGTGTCCTTGGGAGTCCCCCAGATTGGATTGGAGGCATGTCAAACCATTCTCCTGAGAAGGTGGGCCTTAGACTTCAGCAGAGAACTTGCAGGAGTCTGCAACAGCAAAAGGTTCAGAATCCCCGGGCTGAGGAACACGGAGGGGGGGCCACTGGTGGCTGCTGCCCAGATCAAGCCTGTGACCTTCTCTGCAGCAGGCCAGAGCAGGAGGCCAGAGCAGGAGGCCGAGGGAAAGAAGTAGGTTGAGGACATGGATAATGAGCATGCTGGAGCGGGCATCAGTACGTGCGGGTGAAGGAGAGAAGGGTGGGGAACCGGGCCAAGAACTCATTGAGGGAGGAAGAGGACTGACCAAGAGCTCAGAGGCTGGCTGACGGCCTGTGGGCTCTGAACTGCTGTGACCCTCCAAGGAACGACTGCTTACGTGTGGGGGTGGAGGGAGAGTCTGGCGATGGCAGCAGGGAGCGAGAGTGTTCGAGCTCCAAGGGGGAACAAGGACACCGAGCTTCTGATCCTGCCTCTGACTCGCCTAGGATCTTGGGATTCTTCCTTTGTGCTGACTCACACTCTCTGGTTGGAAATCCTACTCCTCTGGCCTCAAGCATGAAAAATGCTGACTGAGCTCAAACTCAGGAAGACCTGGGTTCAAATCCTCCCTCCAGCACTGTGTGATCAGGGCAAGGCACTTCCTCCTCTGTGTCTTAATTTCATCTGTAAGATTGATGCCTGTGGTGCCTTGCTCATAGGGTTGTTGTGACACTCAAGGGACATCATAGATGTGAAATCTTTGGCACAACATGCATGCATGCGCACATGCACACACACACACACACACACACACACACACACACACACACACACACACACACGCTCACGCGTTCACAGGCACACAGTCCTGGTGATTCTTGGTGGCCAGCCAGGTGGGGGGAGGGCCCTACTCTAGGCTAGCCTGAGGCTTGGGAAACATACAGAGTTTGTGGTGGGGCCCTGGCTCTGTGCTAGCACACATTCTGCTTGGGCTTCCCGAAGGCAGGCTCCCCTCTGTGCCATTGGAGATCAATCCTGTCCTTGGCAGAATGTCTACCTTTTCTTGCAATGATTCTAATTCTCTTCTACTTCTTTTCCAGTTGATGTGGAACATTCTCATGTTCGATTTCTGGGAAATCTGGTTCTGAACCTCTGGGACTGTGGTGGGTAGGTATTCTTTGCCTTCTGAGGTACCAGACCAGTATGGGTCAGCAGAGCAGTAGGCACTATCTGACCACAGGCCAGGCCTCAACTTCCCCAACTGGAGGTCTTCCTGACTCTAAGTCTGGCTCCATTTCCCTGCAGTGCTGTGAGGGTCAGAGTGGCTCTGGGGTGCACACAAGTTAGGTGGTCTGCTTAAAGACACCAGGCCAGGAGCCCCTGTTGCTGGAGGCTCTGTGTGTTCTTTTTTTTTTTTCTCCCTCTTTTTTCCCCTTCTTACTTTCTCCTACAATTTCCCTATTAAATGGAATGTATTTCTCTACTCAACTGTAAGTTAATATGTATTCCTTCTTTTGATCAGTTCAGATGAATGTGGTTCAAGAGCCACCTGCCCCTCCCACCCTTCCTTCTTTTTTTATATGCATGTCTACTTGTGTACCCTGATTATATGAGATAACTTTCCCTAACCTTCCTTTCCCCCCCATCCCCCCCAAGGGTGTTCTTCCCTACCTCCAGCCCCACCCCCTTTCCATTCTCTTATCAAGATCATCAAGATGTAACATAACCACTCCCAGGCTCTGTTTAATTGGACTCCCTCTAATGATCCTGATAATGACAGGATTAAAGAGGGGATGCTGTGTCAAATGATTACATTTGAATGTAAGCAGCAGTTTATTCTTTAGTCCTTTAGCATTGTTCATTCATGTCTTAACCTTCTTATGTTCCTCTTCACTTTTGTGTTAGAATTTGTTTCCCCACAGCTCTATTGTTTTCATCAGGAATGCTTGGAAGTCCTCTATTTCTTTAAAAATCCATTTTTTCTCCTGTGGTATTATATTCAGTTTTTCTAGATAAGTTATTCTTGGCTATAGGCTCATATTCTTTGCCTACTGGAATATCATATTCCAAGTTCTCCACTCCTTTATCATAGTAGCTGCTGAATCATGTGTGATCCTGACTGTGGCTCCTCACTATTTGAATTCTTTCTTTCTGGTTGCTTGCAGCATTTTTTCTTTGATCTGGAAGCTCTGGATTTTGGCTATGATATTCCTGGGAGTTTTCATTTTGGGTTTTCTTTCAAGAGATGTCTGATAGATTCTTTTTGCTTCCACTCTGCCCTTTAGTTCTAAAAGATCTTAAGAAGTTTTTGGCCCTGGCCTTCAGATAGACCAATGACTCTCAATCTTTCTCCCCTGGATCTGTTTTTCAAGTCAGCTGTCTTTGCTATGAGATGCCTTACATTTTCTTCTAATTTTTCTAGCCTTTTACTTTTGTTTTAGTATTCTTGTTGCCTCATGGAGTCATTGGCCTCTTTTTGGCCCATTTTCATTTTTAGGGAGTTTGTTGCTTGGGAAAGGTTTTGTAATTTGTGATTCAAGTCTAGTTCCTTCTTCCATGGCTCTCATTTCTTTCCCATTTTCCCCTCTAAACACTTTCATTCCATTAATGAAGACAATTTAAAGCTCTTTTTATTAACTTTTGCTTCGTATTTTCCAGGAATTCTGGTCGAGTTAGTGCCTGAGCTATGTTTTTCCCTGAGGCATTGCTTGTAGATGTTCTGGAGTCATTCTTTTCTTCTGTATTTGTGTCTTGAGAATCCCTGCCACCCAAACAGCTTATGACCTTCTTCTTTCTGGTGTTGTTGTTGTCGTCGTCGTTATTTGCCCATTCTTTCAGTTTATTTCCTGATTTTGGGCTTCATGTTAGAGAAGGACTCTAGGACACACCTAGAGGTAAGGTCTGGGCTGGTACCAATGCTGCTTTGTCAGGTTATTGAGTATTATGTTATTCTAGAATCTCAGGGATAGGCTGGAATACTGTAGCAAGTTTTCAGTGCTTCCATAGTGGTCTTGATACGGTTTACAGTTCAGCGGGGCTGGGACCCCAATATCACAACATGTGGGTCCTGTCTAAAAGAATTCGACCCAAGCCTTCTTTCAGCCAAGGACAAGGTTTATTAGAATATCCATCCTATTGGGCAGACTCTTAAGGAGTCTTATTGGCTAGATTATAAGAATCTAAGCAGTGGCTAGATTTTAAGAATCCCAGCAGTGGTTAGATTTTAGGAATCTGAGCAGTGGCTAGATTATGAGAATCTAAGCCGGCTCTGTGTGTTCTAAGCTCCTTCAAGGGCTCTACCTTTGCTCATCTTCATCATTGGCCTGGTACTTGAGAAACATCCCTTGGCTTTATGAGATTTAAGTGGTCACGTGTACTTAAACCCATCCATTTCTCCCTCCCTTAGCTATCTAGTCCCACATCATCTGTTTTTATTTTGGGGGGGGGGTGGAAGGTGACAAAGAGAGTCTTCATATCAAATACTTACTAGAAGTTCCACATCCAGAATCCACAGAGGACTGACCCAAATGCCCAAGATTAAGAACCAGCTCCCAAAAGAATTGTGAACTGATCTAACCATTCTGGAGATAATCTGGAATTATGCCCAAAGAGTTAATAAATGACCTGTGCCCTTTGACCCAGCAATACCACTACTAGGTCTGTTTCCAAAGATGATTGGGGGAAAAGAAAAAGAACCTCTGTGTTCTAAAATATTTAGAGCAGCTCTCTTTGTGGTGGCCAAGAATTGGAAATGGAGGGGATGCCCATCCATTGGGGAATGGCTGAGCAAGTTGTGGTATATGAATGTCATGGAATACTATTGTGCTATGAGAAATGATGAGCAGGTGGACTTCAGAAACACCTGGAAAGACTTGCACGAAATAATGAAGAACAAAATGACCAAAGGATATGACCAGATAGCAAACAGAAGAGAAGTCCAGGCCAGCAGAAGCATCCTTTAGTTCTGCTCAAGGGCTTTTGGTGTGATGGCTGACACCGGGCTGGAGGGGAAGCTTCTATCCTCCCTGCTGGAGAACACAGACGCTCACAGATTTTTCTTCAGCACCCTCTAGTTTAAACGAGCTGGCTTCTCTTCTCAGTGGTAGCAGGAGTAGATACTTTCCACTCCACCCCAAAAAGCCCACAGGCTCAGAGTGGGGGCGGAGAACTCTGTGGCAAAACACTGGTTTGGTTGAGTCTGCTTGGGCTCTGCTTCCCAGAAAGTCCTCTGAGGCAACCAGTCTGTGGCGTATTCCTCGCCCTCCTGGCCCAGTGTCAGGATGTGGATTCTGGTGCTTGGGCCCAGCCACTTTCAGCTTCCTTTCCCACAAAAGGAGCCTACAGAGATCGCTGGCTTTTCAGAAATGAATTGTTAGAAGTTGCGCCTTCTGTTCCAAACCAGGCAGTCCCACCAATGCTCATTCCCTTCACAAGCACCTAGGCATCCTTTCTTCCCCAAAGGTTTGCTAACTTTTGCTAGCTAAGCTTTTCTTGGAAACCTGAAGGCTCCCATTCTTTGCCTGCTTCGTCCTGCCTTTTTTCCGACAGTGTGAGCTTGCTTTCTTCAGCAAGCTTTCCTGAGTGGTGGAAGGGGAAGGGAGACGAGCATTTATGTGGTGCTAACCATGGGCTGGGCACTGTGCTATACACTTTACAAACAGTAACTCATTTGCTCTTCACAACACCCTGGGAAGGACGTCCTAGTATCTCCCCCCTTTTCCTGTTGAGGAAACTGAAGTAGACTTTCCCAGGGTTGTCCCACTAGTGAGTATCTAAGGTTGGACTGGAACTCAGGTCTTCCTAGCTGTCTCAGGAGGGCCGTTTGTATACCTCTCTGGTGCCTAATCCAGAACCAGGTGGTAGGGAGGACACCTTTTCATTAATTCATTCACTCACTCATCCATTCATTCATTCATTCATTCATTCATTCATTCATTCATTCGTTCACCAAATGTTCCCTGAGCTCTTCTTTAGCACTAAATGCAGGGGAGTGTGGCTAGAGGACCGTGTGGGTGGATGTAGAGGATGTGTGTGCTCCCTCTTCTAGGAGCTTGGGATGTCCTTGGGAAGATGAGGGAGGCCCACACACGGGAAGCATTGGAGCAGCAAGCATTCCAAGGGAACCAGGGTCTAAATGAATAGCAGAAACAATGGGCTTTCAGAGAGGAAGAGAGTCATGCATGGAGTTGGACAGGGCAGGATGGTGAAGAAGCCAGGGCCTGAGCTTCTCCTTATAGGGAGTGGGGTGGGAATTGAATGGGGGGGTGGACATATTTTAGGGACAAGGAAAGGGCTTGGCTAGTGGTAGGGAGGAGGAGCAACAGCTGAGCAAAGGTGTGGAGTAGGAAGGAGAATCAGATATTCTGGGCACAGTGAGTACACTGGCCTTGCTAGGTTTGGAGGGCTTTCTCAATACAAGCAGTCCCTCCTTCCCCTTATGGGGTGTTCTAAGGAGCCATGTTGCCAAGCACTTTTCTTTTTTTTTTTGCTTTTTGGTGAGGCAAATGGGGTTAAGTGACTTGCCCAGGGTCACACAGCTATCAAATGTCTGGTCTGAGACTGGATTTGAACTCAGGTCCTCCTGACTCCAGGGCTGGTGCTCTATCCGCTATACCACCTAGCTGTCCCTGCCAAGCACATTTTTGTAACAGATTCACCTTCTCTCATGGGAAGCATGTTGCATTCCTGATCAAGGACCTATAGCCATTAACGATAGGACAGACAGTGTAGACAGTGTGTCCTAAAACCCCAAATGGCAAGAGTCTAAACTCCTATAATCATTTAAAATGGGGAAATTACCCTCCATTTTCCATGAAATGTAGGAGAATGAATATATTCTAAAGCTTTAATGGAAAAATGCGGCATCTGTGTCATAAACGTGACTCGTGCAGCCCTACTGTGCTCAGTACCAGCGGGGAAGGGCAGAGCATTGGGATGGCCTGCTTGAGGCTCCCCAGCATCTCAGAGAGTTCCAGTTGATCTCTTCTCTGTGAATTTTCTCTTAGCAAGAAGAAGTCTCGGCTGTGGTCTTAGAGTCAGAGGTGAGATCCCTGCCCTTCCCACAAATGGCTGTTGTAATGTTGGACACGTGAAGGGTGTAAAGTGCAAACAGGAGCCCTGAGGCCAGGGCGCCTTCATGCTCTCCATCTGCTTCTCCCCAGCCAGGACACCTTCATGGAGAACTATTTTACCAGCCAACGGGACAATATTTTCCGCAATGTGGAGGTTTTGATCTATGTGTTTGACGTGGAAAGCCGCGAGCTGGAGAAGGACATGCATTACTACCAGTCGTGCCTGGAGGCCATCCTTCAGAACTCCCCTGATGCCAAGATCTTTTGCCTCGTGCACAAAATGGACCTCGTTCAGGAGGATCAGCGGGACCTGGTAGGAGCAGCCCCCACTTTTTAAGGTCCCCTCTGTAGGCAGAGCAATGGTCATAGGGCAAGGGGGATAGTTATACAGCCCAGCCATGTGATGGCACCAAAAAACCCTTCCTCGTTTGACTAGGGCCTCTCCCTTCCTGGCGGCTGGGGCCCAGAGCCTAGGATGGAGAACCCAGGACTGTGCTACAGGAGGAGAGAGGTTTATGAAGTTGGCTCAGTTTGGGGTGAAGGGTGGAAATTAGGGTTACATTTGTTGCTGTATTCTGAGGTCCCACAAAAACTTAATTTAAGACCAAATTTACAAAAAAGTTTTTTAGTTCAAAGCCTTACTAAGTACTCTTGTACACTCTGAACGTAGGCTTTGCCTTGGACTTGTATTCTAAAGTGGACAAACCAGTGAAGGCAGCTAACAGTATAACTCGAGTACCTAGTATCTAGGCCTGTGGCCTATTTTTATCTTCCCTTAACCTTGGAGTTGGGCAGCTGGGGGCGCTGCAGTGGTGAGAGTGCTGGGCCTGGGGTCAGGAACATTTGAGTTCAAATGTGGCCTCACTTACTGGCTGTGTGAGCCTGGGCAAGTCACTTCACCCTGTTTGCCTCAGTTTCCTCATCTGTAAAATGAGCTGGAGCAGGAAATGGCAAATGGCTCTGGTGTCTCTGCCGAGAACATCCCAAATGGGGTCATGGAGAGTCGGACACAACTGAAATGACTGAACAGTTAGGGTTAGGGCATTAACTGGTGGGTGAAGCCCTGGAGAATCCCTCTCGCTCCCTCTTTTTCACATTGTTTCTCCTGCCATCCCTTCCCATCCCCCTTATTAGAGACCCATCCCATAGAACAAAAAGAAGACTCCCAAGTGAGTGGGTTCATGCGCTGAGGAGGACTGCCCACCTCGGCAGAGGAAAGTCCTTTGGAAGGGGCAGCAGTGATGCTCCCACCACCTCTTCAGCTCTTCTGCCATCACTTCTTCCTGCTCCTCTTGTGTTAGAATTCCTCCTGGCTCACCCTCACCAATCTCCTCTGCCCCCTTTGGCTTCCACTGTACCTTAAAGAGGCCCATTCTCCCTCCCTCTTTCTGTCTTCTCTCCCTTCCCTTCTCCCTCTTTCTCAGTTTCTGGCTCTCTGTTTCTCTTTCCCCTCCCTCCTTCCCCTTTCCCACTTCTCCTTCTCTCCCTTCCTCTCTCCCTTCCCCCCTCTCAGATTCTGTGCCCTGGGGCCCAGGCAATGCTGCCTCAGAAAGAAGGGAATCAGGAGGTGAGGCCTCTGAGTCCACAGGCTGCTCCTCCTTTTACGGATCTTAGGGATCTGAGGTCCCAAGAGAAAAGTGACTCTTTCAGGGTCACTCAGCAGCAGAGATTAGACTGAAAGCCAGGCAGGGTTCAGTCTTCTTTCTGCCATTCCCAATTCTTCAAGAGTCTGCAGACAGCTAGGGGGCACCACAGAGCACTGAGCCAGGAGGCAGGAAGACCTGAGTTCCAGTCCTGCCTCGGGTACTTCCTAGCTGTGTGACACTGGGCAAGTCACTTAACTCTGCCTCAGTTTCTTTTTTTTTATTTTTTTTTTGGGGGGGGAGAGGTTAGGCAGTCGGGGTTAAGTGACTTGCCCAGGGTCACACAGCTAGTAAGTGTGATGTGTCTGAGGCCGGATTTGAACTCAGGTCCTCTTGAATCCAGGGCCAGTGCTCTATCCACTGAGCCCCCTAGCTGCCCTCTGCCTCAGTTTCTTCAGCAGTAAAATGGGGATCGTAAAAGTACCTACCTCTTCCATGGTTGTTGTGAGGACCAAATGAGGTCATGTTTGTGAAAGGCTCATAGCACAGCGATTGGCACATAGTAGGCACTTTAAAAATGCTTGTTCCTTTCCCCTTTCCTTCCCTTAAAAGAACATTCTGTGGCTCCATTGTGTTTTTAGAAAGTAGAGCCACAAGTTCAAACCCCAGTCTCCTGGCCGGGGCTGCCATTTGGCTGCAGGCCTCCGGCCTGTGAAGGGGCTTCTTGTATTCCAGAAGCTCTTTGATGACCATATTTGGAGTTTGAGCCATCTCTGCTCGGTGCTCGGGCAGCAGCCGTGAGGGGGACTCCAGGAGCCAGACTGCATTTCCTCAGCTGCCTTTTCTGATCGAGGGCTCCCCCAAAGCAGCTTAGGAGCCAACGCTGTTCTGAGGCCCTGAGGGCTGCAGCTGCTCCCTTCTCTGCTTAGCAGTGTGCATCTGAAAGCCCTGGTCTTCTTAGCCCCTACAGCTGAGCACAGGCATTCTTACCTTTGGCTCCAGGCTCCCCTGCTTGGAATGTGCTCGGCCTGCCCTTGCTTCTCCGCAGGGCTCAGGTCTGGAGCCCTGCTGTTGCCTGTTTTTCCAAGACCCCTCACTCTGCATCGGGAGCATATGTTTACAATGTGAGGGGAAAAAAAGGCACCTGGGGCCAGCAGCCCCATGAGCCCAATAGCAGCTTTTTCACCATACTGGGAGACCTAGCAGATGTGCTTTCCAGAAGTCATGCTCACGTTAGCTGTGTGGCCCTGGACAAGTCACTTCTTTGTGGGCCCCAGTTCCCTAAGATCTGTAAAAGGAAGAGCCAGGCCTGCTGTGGCAGCTTGTGGCCTCAGATACCTGGCCTCTGACTCACTCACACCCTGCTTAGGCCCTGGGGCGCAGGAGGGTATGTGATTGGTCCCTGAATGTCTTGTTTCCAGAAGTTAGTACTCCTTCCTGACCTAGAAGAGGAGAAAGGAGCCAGAGAAAGCAGGGAGAGCTAGCTGCCTGTGACAAAGTGGGGGCACTTCTGGGAAGAGGCACCATCCTGGTCATTGTCTCACTGCTTCTTTTCTGCTGCTCACAGCTGACTGACCTCTCAGGGCATTGACTGCCAGGTCCTTCACTTTCTTCTCAGGCCATTAGCCCAGCTTAGACTTCACTTTTCTCCCTTCCCAGCCTCAGCGCAGTCATTAACCAGTTCACCTCCACAGTCCTTGAATTCCTTTGCCACCTCTTCCTCCCCTCTCCCCAGCCCTGGATTACTCTTCCCATCTGCTTTCTCACCTCTTCATATGCTGTTGGCTGAAGCTGGAGGAGTTCTGCAGTTGTGCTGAGCAAACACACCCTACATTCATGTTAATCAGCTTCAACTGGGCCCTCAGCACAGCAAGGCAATCCCTCCGAGCATTTCTAATTTATTTGCTATCTCGTTGTCCACAGAAGTGATTCTAAACCTGTTCTGCTTTCTTCAGGCCATCCCCTGCAGCTCCCCCTGTACCTTCTCTCCATTGAGGACCTTGCCTCTTGCCTAAGAAAATGGAGGTCATTTGCCAGGAGCTCCCTCTTCTCCCCTTCCCTTTTCTCAGAACCCCTTGACATTATCTCCCACTCTCTCCTCTTTTCTTCTAGCCTCTGATATTGAGGAGGTCCTTCTCCTTGCCAGAGCCAAAACCTTTCTTCATATGCTCTCGACCTTACCCTTTCCCATCTCCTTGGGAGGATTGTCTCTCTCAGTAATTTCCACCTCAGCAGTCTTTAACCTCTCCAGTCCCAGTTCTTTCTTTCTCTTACTGCCTTTGAATATGCCCCCCAGGTTCCTGAATCCTCATAAAGTCTTCCTTAGATCCTACTATCCCCTTAAGCTTGTGGCACTTAGCTCTCTTCTCTCCCTTACTCCATAACCCTTAGAAATCTTGCCTCCAGCCTCATCACTCACCAGATGCTGTTCTCCCTCCAAAGTTGCCAGTGACCTCTTCATTGCCAGCTCTGGTGGCCTTTTCTTTTGCCTTATCCTTCTTTTGCCTTATCTTACTTGACCTCTCTAATTCATTGGCCACTGTTGACCAGCCTCCTCCTGGTTGTTTTCTCCTCTTTGGGGTTTTGTGACCGTGTTCTCTCTCTTGGTTCTCCCTCTACCTATGTGACTGGTCCTTTTCAGTCTTCTAACCTCGAGGCCTCCCCACCTCTAAGTCTCTCCCCACTCCATTCTCTTCTCCTTCATCTGTTAAAGGGCTTTTCCTTAAATGTACTTCCCTACTCAGTAAACTCCAGAAGCTGCCTATTGCTTCAAGGATTGAATATCGATTCCTCTGTGGCTTTTAAAGCCTTTTACCAACTGGCCCAAGCCTATCTTTCCAGGTTTCTTTGGATTTGTTCTCTGTATTCATTGTAGACATACTTTCATATGTTCTTGTTGACACCCCCCCCCCCAATTAGAATGAAAGTTCCTTGAGTGTAGGGATGGCTTCATTCTTTGTACTCATATTGTCAGTGCTGGGCACGAGGTGGCCCACCCACTCCAGAAGGGGATTTCTAAGAATCACCCTGATGTTAGAGTTAGTGGGGCTAAGCAAGGAAGCAGAGGTTGGGAACAACATGGTCGAAGAAATTCAATTGTTCAAACTATTTATTAAACGTGCTTCTCAACCACACATCTGGGGAATCCCGTCCTGTCAGAGCTAGAGGGGTCTTCAGAGATCCACCACCTAGTCCCGCCCATGACTGGGGAATCGGAAGCTTGGATGAGGGAAGGCACTTGGAATCCCAGCCCACTGCTCTTTTCCCTAACTCCTCTCCTTGGATTGGTCGTCAATTCGGGCCTCTAGCAGAATAGATCATTTGGCTTTCCTAGCCACGCAGCAGCTCCATTCTAACAAGTGTCACTGTTGAGAGTGGCGTCAAGCATCGGTGAGGAGTGGGCAGCCAACTGCTTGGATCATCTGGAGTCTCTTCCTGTTCACTGCATGGGCTCCCAGAGGAAGTCCTGGATGAGATTCTTGTCTGCTCTTAGCCATCTTTCTCTGTATACCAGACCACTGTCTCCTCTCACTTCCCTCGTTCAGTCTTTCTGGAAAAATCTCTGGACAAATGAAGTTTACGGGATCATGAGTGCAAGAGAGACACAGTCAGAAACAAACACACAGAGTTGTGGGGAGAAAGTCTACATTCATTTGAGGGAATTTAGGGAGTCTCAGATAGCAGCTGAGCCAAGAACTTACTTAAAAGAGATCATTCATTAAAATTGGGCTCACTTCCTTCCCTGGGCTCTCTTAGCACCTCCCACTCCCCAGCCCCCAACCCAGTCAAGGGCATGTTTCTTGCTGTAGAGCACAAACATTACTAGTTATATCTCCAGAACTGAGTTTTACTGTTAAAGAATTTACACTTGCTGCTGACTTATCTTCAGTATAATGTATTCCATATATGGAAGGATGTCCAAGTCATCTTTGGTGTGAGTGGGGAGCTTCATACTGACCTCACTTAAGGGCTTTGGGATCCCAGTAGTTCTGCTTCAGTCCTGACTAAGAGCATCTGGTGGGGGCCTAGCCCTAGAGATGTCACACCTACCTTACCTCCCTACTTACCTACCTACCTACCTCAAGAAGGAAGAGCAGCTGGTGGGTGACAAGATGCTGTCAGAATCATTGTGTCCTTGGTTTATTCCCCCAAAGACCAAATGTGTTAGATCTTTCTTTTGGGCTTTTCTTCAGATTTTTAAGGAACGGGAGGAAGACCTGAGGCGGTTGTCCCGCCCATTGGAATGTGCTTGTTTTCGAACATCTATCTGGGATGAAACACTCTATAAGGTTGGTACTTTCTCTCTGAGTTCTCTCAGTTTAAAATAGGAATCTCCAAATCATGGAAGGAAATTAACAGAGTGAAAATCTTCCTCTGATTCCTGGCTTGTCCAAGTCTCAGAGAAATAAGGCCTCGCATGAAAGTTATGCCTCACTGGTCACTTAAACAATTTTCTGATAATATTGGGGGTTTGTACTTAGCCTCCATTGACTTCTGACTGCTAGGTGGCACAGTGGACAGAGTACTGGGCCGGAGTCAGGAAGCCCCGAGTTCACTTACTGCCCCTGGGCAAGTCACTTAGCCAACGTTTGCTGCGGGTTCTTCAGCTGTGAAATGGGCCCAGGGTTGGGGTGAGCACCCAAGGAGCTAATGTTTGCAGAGCACTTCGCACAGGACCCCCTTCCTCTCCCTTCAGATGCTCTCCTGATGTGGTGGAACTGCAGGTTTTGTTAATACTCACTGTGACAGTGATTTTCTTGGCAGCCAAAGGGTGACCGACTGCTCCCTGACCTGGGATAGAAACCTGTTCTCAGGGCTGAGGGTAGCTGGCGCCTTAGTGGGGTGACAGCTGGCCTCCCAGGAGCTATGTGCGCGAGTGGAAAAATAGCCCCGAGAGGTTAGGTGACTTGTGTGGGCTCACATGGGGGGTATGTTAAACAGGAGGTAAGTGTGTCTATGTGTTTGTGCGTGTGTGTACACATACGTGGGTGTACACACACATACATATACACACACACCCCTTTAGAAAAGTTTTGCCTTTCCCATCCCAGCTGGGCCACTTTCCCCAAGGCAACAGCCCTTTACCGGAGTTGAGGGGCTTGATGAATTTTAATGACCTGTGGTGGCCTGGATTTTTCCCTTCCAAATGTTAATGAAGGCATTGCTGGCTTTAACAAAGATTTTTAATTGGAGTAACAATCAGTTGCTAATTTCCATTCCATTTCATTCACTCACCCCCTCCTTCCAGTAAACCTTTGGCCCTTAGCTTAAAGCCTACCCTTTTATTGGAGACTTTGGTGAGAAAAGGAAATCCCACATCTAGGGACTTGCCCGAGGCAAGAAAACCTTTGTACAAAGGCTTGGTTAAATTAGAATGCTCCCCGGCCCTCTGGGTTTCTGCAACAGAGCTATCTGCAAAACTTTGTCTCTTGCGGTGGTCTTCCTTTTGCAAATAAATGTCCCCCTAAAGTAGCCTCGGATTGAAAGGGCAGAGCAAGAGCCTCAACTTCCACGCTCCTCCTCTCCTCTGGCAGGCCTGGTCCAGTATCGTCTATCAGCTCATCCCCAACGTTCAGCAGCTGGAAATGAACCTGAGAAATTTCGCTCAGATCATTGAAGCGGATGAGGTGCTTCTCTTTGAAAGAGCAACTTTTCTGGTGAGAATCATCGGCATTGGGCGTGTGTGGAACATTTTGTACTTCCTGAGCAGCCTTGGGGCTCACCAGCTGGGGGGCCTGGGGCCGTGTGGGGCACGGCCATTTCCCGTGTGGTCACTGCTTCCAAAGTGGGGCTGTGTAGAAGATGACCTGAGTGAAATTCTCGGAACATTACTTTAGCCCTGAGTAATTATTAGATATTTAGAGGTGTCTCTGTGTGTGTGTGTGTGTGTGTGTGTGTGTGTGTGTCTGTATGTCTGTGTGTCTGTGTCTGTGTGTGTACCTCACTTTGCCGATGGGGTCATTTTGGCAAAGTTGGCAGTATAAAGTGAGCTTCTTCCTAAATTTCTTTGACTGAATTAGCAACTGCCACATTGCTGGAAAAGTTGGGTGGTGGGAGAATCTGTGAACCCAGGCTGAACTCCTTGTCCTAGGAGTGGGCAGGGAACATGCCCGCGGCCGTCAGGTAATTGAAGGGCTCTCCCTTGGGTGCTCAGGACACAGGCTTCACGGCAGGGCTCCCAGTAGAGGCCAGGTGACCAGTTGTCTGGGATTTGAAAGATGAGATTTGTTGAGGGATGGGTTGGCCTAGATACTTCTGAGACTTTGTGACCCTGACTAGGATTTCCTCCCTTTCCCTTGGTTTGGCCCAAGCGACACCTGTGACAAGTAGGTCCCTTGCTCTGGTAGCCACTAGCACCACAGGCCCTGGGATGTGTGGCTGAAGAGCCGAATGCCCTTCCTCACCAACCTGACCAGGAGGAACTGCGTCACCTGGAGCAGGGCTTAAGCAAAGCAACACTCAGCCTGGCATCTCTGGCCCGGGCCTTGCGGGATTGCCAGCTGCTTGAGGACAAGGACTGTCAGAATATATAACAAACCGCAAGGCAGTCCCCCTTTTTTGGCCCTTTCTTGACCTAAGGTGAGGCTAAAGGGTGGCCTGAGCTCCCTCTGTTCCTTAGCAGGGGACACCAGATGGCTGCCTCCCCACCCCCACACCGAATCTGGATGCTGAAGTTATCTTGGCCTTAGGTTGGAGATTCCACTGAGGGCTTAATGTCAAATGTCCTGAAGGGAAAACCTTTTCCTTAGCTCTGAGACTTTCTGCAGCACCAGCAAAAGAAAGCATTTGAGTTTCCAGCCCTTTCGGGGAGATCAAGGTGGTAAGAATCCACTCCTGGTAACCAGCAGGCACATTAGTCTGCACTTTGCCTCTCGGTCCTCAGTCCCAGGGCCAGCTTCAGAAATGCCAATGCCAATGCCGGCAGTGGTTAGGAGCTGCTACTTTTCTCCAAGGACTCTTCTTCCTACATTCCCTCTTTCTCTGCCTCTCTCTAGGTAGATGTGAGGGTCTTCTATCTAGCTCTAACCAGGAAATGCCCAAAGCTTCTTGGAAGTGGATTTTCATTAATTATTTCAACACTTCAAACACAATGACGAATTCTCTGTTTTCAATGGAATCCCATGAACTCCTTTGAAAAAAGATTAGAATTTAGCATTTTTATAAAGTTTACTTTTTAAACAATAGGGCCCCAAAATAGAAAATATATTTGAGATAGTTTAATAAAATTACAACCAGACCAAGCACCTGTTCATGTGGCTGTCCCAGAAGGGACTTGGAAGAGGCCTGCAGGCCAGGGACTTCCTGGTTGCTCTTAGTTCGAGTCTCTTGCGATGCCTCTTCCGTTAGGCAGCTTGGAGATTCTGCCCTCGCCCTCCTATCTTCAGCTTCTTTATTGTGTTCCAGTTGCCCATCTCCGACACACACCATTGGTAACTCTGGGCTTGTGGTCCACTAAACCCCTTTGAGGTTTTTGAGGTGAACCCTACCATGCACTTGGGAAGTTGATTTTAGAGCCCACTTGGAAGACTTGACAGTCAACTTACCTCTGTAAAACGTCATCAGATTCGATTTGGCCCAAATGTCAGATGTCATTTAGTGTGACATCTAGTTTGATGTCATCATGCCATCCATGACTTGTTGTGAGTTACTGATAACTTTGTTAAATTGCACTGGGGCAGGGGCGGGGTGGGGGTGGGGAGAAAGCTAGAACTCCTAGCACTACAACTCTTCCAAGTTGACGTGGAGCCATTGATGACTATTCTTCGCAGCTGGTCATCCAGTCTGTTCTTAGCCCACCTAATTGTACTATTGTCAACCTCCCATTTCTCTCTCTCTCTCTCTCTCTCTCTCTCTCTCTCTCTCTCTCTCTCTCTTTTTTTTTTTAGGCAGTTGGGGTTTAAGTGACTTGCCCAGGGTCACACAGCTAGTAAGTGTCAAGTGTTTGGTCTGAGGCTGGATTTGAACTCAGGTCCTCCTGACTTCAGGGCCAGTGCTCTATCCGCTGTGCCACCTAGCTGCCCCCCCCCCATTTCTCTGTCTTTTAAGATTTTATGAGACAGCTTTGCTAAAAGCCCCATCTTTTTCTCATCAATGGAGATCCAACCCAATCTAATTTGGAGCCTAATTTCTAGGCTTATGGAGTTGCCTGGGGCACTGTGGGCTAGGTGGCTAGGATGTGACAGAAGTTGGACTCGGTCTCAGGTCTGTGCCTCCTACCACTTTAGTGACCCTGTCCAAAAACAAAAAATAAGCTTGGTCTGGTATAACCTGCTTTGGCTGAAGCCAGGTTGGCCTTTTGTGTTCACCACTTCCTTTTCTAGACATTCATTGATGAGCAGGGTTCAATAATCCATTCTAGGCTTGGGCCAGGGAGTGCCACACTCACTGACCTGTAGCCTCAGGCTGCTTTCTTTTGCTGTCTGTGAATAGCTCGGCCTTTGCCCTTCTCTCATGATCTGGTACCTCTGGCCTTCTTCCTGCTTTTGCAGAGATCGCCTCTGCTGGCTCCTGGGTCACATCAGCCAGTTCTTTCAGTACCTAAGAATGGAGTCCATCTGGCTCTGGTGACTTGACTTGGCCAAGGCTATCTGCCTACTTAGTGACTGGCACTGCCTGTCTTGATTTTTAGAAGGTACTGAGGTTTGTTGGCTTTTAAGTCTCTTCCTGTTAATGAGCTCAGATCCCCTAATATGCAAGAGAAATCTTCAAGCTTGCCTTTAGCTCTCATTCTGCCCTTTGTCAAGAAAAACCAATATGAAATGATTGTCAACTGAAGACTCTTCATGACCGATGCCAGTGGGCTGTGAGTGAACTTTGGCCTTGGAGACAGAGAGAGCTGGGTTCAAATCTCACCTCTACCACTTATTGGCTCTGTGAGTCTAGCAAGTTGGTCAAGGCTTAGTTTTCTCATCTGTAAGATAGGGAGATTGGGCTAGCTATGACCTCTGAAGTCTCTTCCAACAAAAAATGGAATTAGAGCTTCAGCAGCAGGTTAAATGACTTCCCTAGAATCACGCAGTCAGAGTCAAGAGAGATAGGAACCTAGTTCTTTTCTGGCTCCAAGTCCAGTGCTGTATCTTCTGCTCCTCCCAACTGCCTCTAATTTGTCCTATTCGTAGTTCTGCCCAGAACAGAAATTATTGGAGAATGCTGGTTTTCAGTTATGGGGAATGGGGGTTCCCAAGAACCTATGTGCTTGGCAGACATAAAGTTGGGTTGCTTCTCATTCCCCTCCTTCCCCCCCAAAGCAGAGGGGGCCGGAAGGTGGGCTTTGGACACTCCCTCTGTTTCTCCCCTCTCCTTGTTCTTCATCAGGGGCACAGCTCTGGGATTTCCACCTTTCCCTGGAAACCCTGCCCAGCAGAATGGGAAGCATATTCCTCACTGCTGACTTTTGCCACTCTGGCCTTCATTCTTGGGCTTTTATGGAAATAATAGCCTGATTTCCTTATTGCCTCTGCTGGCCAGTTACATGTTCCTTGGCGGGGGGGGGGGGGCAGAGATTCTGTGTATTTTAGGGATTGGAAGGTAGCTGCTCAGTTTGCTTTGGGTCTATAAGTCTGGTTTCAAATCTGACCTCTGCCATTTCTACTCATATGACCTGAAGCAAATGACATAGCCTGTCTGGGTCTTGGTTTCCCTTCTAGAAAATGAGTGGTGTTGACTAACTGACATTTCTAAGGCCCCTTCCAGCTTGAAATTTCTGATTCTAGGCCTTGCGTAAGGAGAGTTTAAAGTCTTGTGTAAATTACAAGTAGTCCCCAGTGCATGGGCAGGATTTATCAGTTGGTCATTTAGAATAGACGTTAAAAAATATTTTAAAATGGGTTCAGCTCCCAGACCAGCCCACCAGAGCCTATGAATAGTAGCATAGAACCTATCAGACTTATGCCATTACTCTGAACTCCCAGAAGTTCCAGGGCAGGGGTCCCAGTTGATGGTGGTGGGGGAGTGTCTGGGTCTTTGGGTAGTAGTAATAGCAGGGGGCTGGATCAGGTTTTCTTCAGGGGCAGTGGGTCTTTGTCCATAGTGGGCAACAGCTGCCTATGGGGGCCAGTCATTAAGTCAAGGATACTTTTGATGAGCATGGAAGACATTTTCCGTAGCTGCTCTATAGAAGCAAATAAACCGAGTCACTCCACATTATGTTTCAAGGGCTCAGATCTATCAGAAACACATTTCTTAATTTACCAAGGACTCCTTAGGATTGTTCACTGCTCCATGTCCCCATTTCCCTCCCTCCCCCATTAGCCAAGAATGCCAGCTAAAGAGATGTTTGAGCCTTATCCCTCTCTCAGGAGCATCTACAGAATTCTAAGCAGTTCTCTGTATGTCTTGTGCAGTGGCTGTGCCCCAACAGAAGAGTGTTTGTCTGAAGGAAAGGGAAAATAAGCGAGAGCTGAATTGGTGATCGTAAACCATGACAAATCACTAGCTTGGCCTCAAGGACTCTGCTGAAATAGGTAACAGTGTCAGGCCAGAAGGCGTTTGTGTCTGTAATAGCAGAAGAATATACTTGGCACAGAGACCACTGATCCTGATGCTTACATGAGCACGTAGGCCGTGGCTCCCAAGCTCGGCTGCAGGCTTTGAGCATCTCCGACTCCTCCCTCGTACAGCATTTCGAGCGTGGCCTAGAGGTTGGATTTGGTTGACGTCACGCACACGGCGTGAGACTTAAAGAGCGGCGCTCAGGTGCTCTGTACTTACCGGCGGCTGCTTCTCTTTTCCCACAGGTGATCTCCCATTACCAGTGTAAAGAGCAGCGCGACGTCCACAGGTTTGAGAAGATCAGCAACATCATTAAGCAGTTCAAGCTGAGCTGCAGGTGAGAGCCGCTGGCCACACACAACACTCTGCTTAACGGCCTTTTTGAACAAGGCCTGCACTGGAAGTTCTGAGTTTGTAGAGGGCAGTCAGTGTGCGGTTCCAGGCTAGGATTTTCGTCTGTGTTGTTCATTCATTTCAGTCGTGTCGGACTCTTTGCGACCCCATTTGGGGTTTTCTTGGCAGAAATACTGGAGGGGTGTGCCATTTCCTTTTCTGGCTCATTTTACAGAGGAGGAAACTGAGGCAAACAGGGTGAAGTGACTTGCCCAGGGTCACACAGCTAGGAAGTGTCTGAAACCAGGTTTGAACTTGGGAAGATGAGTCTTCCTAACTCCAGGCCTGGGGTTCTATCCACTGCACCACCTAGCTGCCCCCCACCTAGTCTGTACTCGGGTTATATTCACAGTCCCTCCTGATGTAACTCTAGCCTCACTTAACCGCATCCCATCTGGCTTTGGCTTTGGCAGAATGTGTCCTAGAAGAAAAATCAGTGGGTCTGGAGTCAAAAGATCTGGGTTCAGATGTTGGCTCAGGAATGTGGGCAAGTTTCACCTCTTGAGTCCACCCCTTCAGTTGTGAGCCACTACGGCTTGCAAGTTGTTAATGTGTTATACGTGTTTTTCTCGATGTCTCTGGTCTGCACAAAGTCAATGCTTAATCGTCCCATGACATTGGCATTGTGAGGAGAGTGGCTGGTGAATACCAGAATGACATTATTAAAGATAGAGAATAAATCATTTTTGGTGGAACTCTTCTTTCCAAGTCTACCAGGAGAGCAGAAGGGGGGGGGTCTTTGTTTTCCATTTGAGCAGACCATGACAGGAAAGTGAAAGTTGTTGGTGATTGGTTGGAAAGAAATGAGATTCTTTAATTATGACAGTCAGAAGATAATATGTGAATCTTATGGCTAAAGGACATTTTGCTCAGGCAAAAAAAATCAGGTTAGTTGATTTTTCCCCACATGTTCTGGAACCTCATGGGGTATTGGCCTAATTATTCTCCTTGGCTTGCGTTTTGTTGCTGTTTTTCCTTCACCTCTGTGAGCATATTTTCTTTAAATATTTTTGGTTTTTTTGCTTCCAGGTTGTCCTGTACTTCTGTGTGTTTGAATTCCCAATCTATTATTCTCTCTTGTTTCTTTGGTGAAGCTTGCCATTGCAAATTCCAGTTTTTCTCTTCTCGTTATTTTTGTTGTGCAGGACGTAAACTCATTTCTCTTTTGAACCACTTAGGAGCAGTGTACTGGGCTCTGTGTTCTCCTCACATTCCACAGGGTCCTCTGTCTCAGCAAGTGTTGGATCACCTTCCTTTGTTTTGCACTTATCTGTCCGTGGATCCCTGATTTCTTTTGTTGTTAACAGTTTTTCCTCTTGATTTATGTTAATGTTTAAGGTCTTTGAGTTTTCTTGTTCCTGGAATCTTTGGTCCTTTCAGTCCGTCCGTCCCCCCCCCCCGCATTGTTTTCTTTATTGCTTACTTCCTGACTCTCTCCCTTCAGATGGTGGTTTCCTTGGGAACTGGATCTCAAAAGTGTGTCAGCTTCTTCCCACACTGGGCATTTCCTGGTTCACCAGCCTGGGTCTTTGTCCCAACTGACTTTTGGGTAGTCAGAACTGTAGCCAACTGGATGCTGGACTCCTTCCCTCAGGCTTGGTGGAGTACTGCATCCCGTTACACACACACACACACACACACACACACACACACACACCACACACACACACCACACGCACACACACCACACATGCACACACACCGCACATGCACACACACCACACACGCGCACACGCACACACACCACACATGCACACGCTCACACACCACACACACACACACACACACTCCATGCAAAGTGTCCTGTCCTGGTGACCTGCCCCACTCCCTTTGTTCCTTAGTACTCTGTCCCAGCACTGGCACGAGAGAGGGGAGACTGGGATGTAGCAATGGGTTTTGCTGTCAGCCTGTATTGTGTCCTTGGAACTGGGGAAGGGCTACGGAGTGAGTCAAGCTCAGGAAGCATCAGTTCTTAGGCTCAGGGGATTTTTTCTTTAACCTTCTTTTGGATTCTGGGTATCCTAGACCATGGAAATAGTTTCTTTATCTTTGGCGCAGCATTTCTGTTTTGGAAAAGTTTGACAGATTATGGGGATTGGAGAAAATGTCTAGTTGGCCATCATGTTGCACACATGACCTGGAAGTCATCTGATCATTTGCTTTAGAAGGTAGAATAGCCCTGAACTGCAGTGCTTCATTAAGGGTCCATGTGTCCAAGGAAATCAGTTTTTCAATAGCTTTTTGCCTTTCCCCTCTAGCAAGCTGGCGGCCTCCTTCCAGAGCATGGAAGTGCGCAACTCGAACTTTGCTGCTTTCATTGACATCTTTACTTCCAACACCTACGTGATGGTCGTCATGTCTGATCCATCGATACGTAAGTTAATAGAATCCAGCAACCAATTCTCAAGACTCTCAGTGGTATTACTTTTCTCTCATTAGAACATAAAACAATCCACAAAACAGATTCCCAATGATCTAGACTTTCAAAGAAGGTAGGAACAAAATACTGTGCTTTAGGCCTCATGATGCAAATCTCAGGCTGACTAGTACATGGAGGCACTGATCTCGGAACGCTGAAATGCCAGGTGGCTTTGCTGGATTCTTTGTACATACCATGGTCTTGCCCATCCTTTTTCCCAACCCAAAAGTGCCATATTCCCAGTTTGTGCTATAGGTTGAAAACGTGTTGGGACCCAGGCTTCAGTTGCTGGATTCAGAGTAGCCACATTTGATAAAGAACACTCTGCTCATCCATGCCTGTCTTTAAAAAAAGATGTCCCAATCTCCCTAGCTTCCCAACCCCATTCTGGATATTGAATGAGGGACTCACCCTTCCCAAATCTGTTTGTGAGTCCTTCAGGGCGTTCCCCGTCTTGCCTGGGAGCCCAGAAGAAATGAAATTTTTATCAGTCTTTTGTACCATTTGGGCCCAGTGGTAGCCTAGAAGCCTCTTTGTAGCCCTCCTCACTTAAACACATGCAGAAAGTGGGTTGGCATGTGTCTGATCACTTGCAAGTGTGTGTTTGAATGTATTTTGGTGTCTAAATACAGTAGCTTCTAGATCCAATAGGAGGCATTTTATTAAGCCTCTGCTGTGAACAAAAGACTTTGCTAGGTCCTGAGGAAACCGAAAGTTAGGGGAGTTAAAACCCCTGCTCTCTGAGCTCAATGGACAGGGCTTGAAAACCAGCCATGTCTGAGTGATGAAGGAGGAAGGAGTCAGAGGTGATACTCACCTCCCAGGTGTACTCACAATACTCAGGTTATGAAGATAAGACGCTGGGTGAATAGCAGGTGATCCCCCAGCCAAATAGGAAAGCCTGAAGGAGGACACCAGCTTTAGGGAAATGAATGATGGTGAGACACTTTTGGACATAGGCCATCTCTTCCAATTACCCTGTTATGCTTCCCTGCCATACGCCTCCAGTAGAAGGGAAGGTCTGGAAATCAGGGACTGTTTCCTCTGTACCAGCCAAGTGGCTTACTGCTCTATGGTCATGCTAGTCTATGGCCTGGGCCCAGGCCTGGCATGTACCCCTTCCCTGCCTCCACCCTGGGGGATCCCCAGCTTGTTCAAGGCTACACCCCAGTGCTTAGCTAGCTCCTGGCTGGGGCAGGCGCCCGTGGCAGCCCTCGTTCCCTCCTCCTCAGGAAACAGCTTGTATGTCATCGGCCGGCCTTGCTCCTCAGGAGGGCAGACGTTCTGGGAAAACAGGGCCTGGCACCTGAGAGCTGCTTAGCGCAGGTCAGATCCAAGAAGGACTGCCTTGAATATTTGGCAATGCTGCTTCATCCGCTGCCCTTTCCGTCACCAGCATGCATTTTGCCTGGATCTAAGATGTGCTGGGCCCAGGAAGGATTTTTCAGCTCAGTTTCCCTTTGGATGGATTTCTCTAGAATTCTTCTGAGCCCTTCTTGGCTAGTACCCAGTGTCACAGTATGTGCTTCTAGCCTCGCTCTCGCTCTCCTATTACAGTTTGCAAGCAAACTCTTGAGCATGTGGAAAAGATTTTGAGCAGGACTTCAGTTTCTCTTTTGGAATGATTTCGCTTCAGTCCAACAGCTGGGTCCCTTCTTTGGTACTGGGGCCACCCCTGGGGGACACAAGGGTACAAATCAAACAGGAGCTCAAGACCCACTGAGATCCAGCCACAGAGGAGGGCCACTGGCAGGCTGCTCCCCGGGCCAGCTCTTCATGCCTCCTTTGTATTCTTTTCTTTCCCCCCAATAGCTTCTGCAGCCACCCTGATCAATATCCGCAATGCCAGGAAGCATTTCGAGAAGTTGGAGAGAGTGGATGGACCAAAGCACAGCCTCCTCATGCGCTAAGTATGGTCACGTGACCCCTTGGGAAGCGTCGAAGCTCCATCGTGTTCTTGGTCTGGTCTTCAGTTTTGAGAATGTAGTGTTGCTATCATGTATTCAAGCTTTGAGATGAATGCTGCTTGTCCCCTCTATATTCTTACCCTGTGCTCCCCCCTCTTCCAAATAAAACACAAGCATACACATACACTCCCCCCCATACACATACATGCACCTACACATGCATATATCCACAGACACTTCAGCCATACCCATACTGCATTCCCATACAGACACACATTCACACATGCAAGACACTATTTACTTAAATATTACCAAGAGACCCAACAGAGCATGAAAGGGAGGGGCTCGTAGGGCACAAGGGAAGGGGACTTGCACATCATATATTAACATAGTTCTGATAGTTATGCATGCCAAGCATTTACTTTGGGTATTCTGCCTGTGATTATGAATGACATGGATGGAATTCTGCTCTTTTGTCAGCAACATGCTACAAAGCATTTCGAAATCCCTCCTTGTTCTCAATTATAAAAGAAAATGTAACTCCTTAGGGATTCCTAGTTCCCTGAAGCTTGTGAGTGTTTTATCTTTTCACTATATTGTTTTTGTCCTTTTTGCCACTGGCAGAAATCTCTGGATCTTCAGGAGTCCATCACCATTTTATTCCTGGAGAATTCCTATGTTACCCACCCAGTGGCAAACTTGTATCAGTCTTATGTTATCTGTATTAATCATCTGACCAAATAAAGTACTTATGGCAATGAAATGCAAACGTGGGTGGCTTTCTGGGATTGTTTTTGGGGTCATCTTCCAGCATGATGCCAGTGAAGGGCAGGGAAGCGAATCCAGAAGTGCCCCAGGCCTGGTGGTCTCTTGGCACCTGAGCGCCTGCCATGTCACAGGGCTAGCCACAGTAGCCATTGGGAGACAAAGCTTCAAAAGGAGAGTCCCTGGCCTCGAGAGGCTCTGGGGCAGCTTGGAAGAAGGAGTGGGACACCACAGCAGCTCTTGGAAACCCTTTCATCTGTCCTCCAACTTGCCATGGCTCCCCTAGTCCATACCTCACCCCCTCTCAGAATAAGGCTTTTAAATTGATTAGCTTTCCTTTAGCTAATGGAATGATTCCTCTCCCCCCGCCCCAAGCAAGAGAGCACATTTCCGTGGTTACAGCAGACAAGAGAGTCTGTTTCCACGTTTCTGTATACAAAGATGTTCCATAAACAAGGGAAGCAGGAGCTGGAATCCCAGGTAAAAAAGCTACAACTGGGGCAGCTAGGTGGCACAGTCGATAGATCACCAGCCCTGGAGTCAAGAGAGCCTGAGTTCAAGTGGAGCCTCACACACTTCCTAGCTGTGTGACCCTAGGCAAGTCAACCTCAATTACATCTATAAAACAAAAGAAAAAAAAAACAACAGAAAGCTACACCTGTCCCATCTTCTTGCTGCCACGGATGGATATAAGGCCCAGAAGTATGAGCCATGGAAAGAAAGGGACCTTGTGACCACACTGCCAGGCATCAGGGGTCCTGTACCAAAGGTCTTTTGGAAAGGCACAGGACCATGGTTGTTGGAGGTTATCACTGCTGTAGACTGACAGTTCCTTTCCTACTTCCTCTAGACACTTTGATCTTCGAATCAAATGATTGGCCAAAGCCAGAGGTTCTTCAAGGGTGACTGATGGGGTCAATCCAGTATCCCTTAACCAACAATTCCATTCTACTTTTCAGTTCAGCAGGAGGAAAGTTAGTTGTAAGGGAGGAGCTTGTGTGCATATTTTTTGTCTTTCAAGCGTTTGGATTTGTTTGAAAGCTGAGATCCACTGCCAGGCATCACTCATTCAAACATCTCCACCAAACACGGAGAATGTCCTTTGAATGCCCGACCGGTTTTTTTCTCGCTGCTGTTCACATCTCTTTTCTTTCCTTTACCCTCACTATGTCTGCAGTCACCCTGATCAATATTCCCGATGCCAGGAAATATTTCAAGGGGGTTGGAGCGAGTGGGCGCACCACAGCACAGCCTTCTCCAAACCTGCTTTGGGTCTTGTGACAGACAGTCTTGAAAACACTGGAATTCCCATGGTGTGATTAGTTTTGGTTTTTGAGGATGCAGTAATGCATGTAGCTCATTGCATCTGTATTCTTACCCTGGGCTTCCTCCCACCCTTGTCCTCCTTTCAAACAGATACAGACCACATCTTCCTACCAACACAAACACCTGCACAAATCATAGAGTTCCCCCCCTCCCCCACATGCATGCCCATATGCGGGACACTATTTAAGAAGGGCGTGATGCCAAAGAGGCACCCGAGGGCAGACAACTGGCGCATAGCATATGACAACTTAGTGATGCTGGCCAAGGCCTCGACTCCGGGTTCTTCTGCCTCCGATAGGGAATTTCAAGGATGGAATTCTGCTCTGCTCTTTTATCAGCAACATGTTACAAAGCAGCTCTAAATCCCTCCTTGTTCTCAGTCATGGATAAAATGTTGCCTGTGAGGGATCCCTAGTTCCTGCAGCTTGCAAGTGCTTAGCTCTTCATTATTTGTTTCTTATCTTTGGCAAAAACCTATGATTTTTACTAGTCTGTCCCTCTTTTATTCCTGGGGAGTTCTCATACTCTGTGAACCTCAGTTTCCTCATCTGGAAAATTGAGATAATAATGACCTCTATCTCCCAGGTCCACTCTGAGAGGCTATGTGCAAACCTGAAATCATTATAAACATAACCTCTAGTGTTACTAAATGAAGGCAGCTGTATGGTGCAGTGGCTAGAGTACTGGGCCTGGAATCCAGAAGACTCACCTTCCTGAGTTCAACTCTGGCCTCAGACACTTACTAGCTGGGTGATCCTGGGCAAGGCACTTCACTCTGTTTGCCTTGGTTTTCTCTTCTTTAAAAATGGGCTGGAGAAGGAAATGGCAAACCAATATCTTTGCCAAGAAAACCTCAAATGGGGTCCTGAAGAGTCAGACATGACTGAAACAATTGAACAACAAATTACTAAATGAACCTTCTTCCCCTGTGGAAATTTGGCATGGAATAGTGCATTGATAGGGGAAGCCTTCCCAAAAGCCTTTAGGAGAGAGTAGGCATTGTTCCCAGAGAAGGTGATGTCTAACCTTGTGAGGCACCAGTCTGATGGACAGGGGACTGATCAGTATGAGTATGTGATCATAATGAGACCCCCAAAACCAGACTCTGAGACCAGAAGTGCCCCATGGAACTGCTCTAGCCACCATGTTGGTCCCCTTGGGAAGCCTCCCGCTTGCTCTGGGATTGCTTTCACATCCGTGGGCACACACAATAGCCTATCCCCACTGCCCTATGAGGAAGGATTTTGTTTTCCGAAAAAGCTGAAAGACATTCAAGTCCCAAATGATGTACCTGGCACCTAGATGTTCACTCGTTGATTGATAGATGCTATTTAGGGGTCCAAACAGACTGGGAGAATAGAGTCATCCAAAGGTGAGGATATAAATGGGCTCTAGAGGCAGTTCCCAAACAGGGTTCTAAGACTCTTCTGAGCAAGAGCAAGGCTTGAAATACATATATGGCCGCCAGAGCTGAGTGTTTTCAAGGACAGACAGCCGTCCCCTCTTCATCCTGATTCTGGATTGTTTAAGACATGAACCTCATGGACGACATTCCCGAGTAGCCAAGCCTGAAGCCCTCATGGACCTCATCTTCAGCAGGGCCCATGCATCCATGCCCATGGCATTCATTTGGGTCATCTTTCACATTTGGCTTCTTTCTCCATTTTAGCCCATCTTCCTTGGTGGTTTGGGGAGGAGGGGAGGCAGCAGGCTGTGCTAGTTGGCCCTTGCCCTGCTAGCTCTAACAGTCCTTGATTCGAAGGCGGGGGATCCACATCTTTTGTGTTGGGGCCCCTTGGCTGCAGAAGCCTATAGCCCCTTTTCACAATAAAGGGTTGCATTTCTTAGATTTCATTCAGCTTGCAGAACAGTTTCTCCCGGAAGCTAGAGACCATGTTTCCATGGTTACAGGAGACAGGACAGTCCTGCTTCTGAGTTTCTGTGTGCAAAGAGCTTCTCTAAACAAGGGATGGATTTTGCTGGGAAGCAGGAGCCAGAATCCCAGGTAGTGAAGCTACAACTATCCCTTCCTCCTGCTGCTGCCAATGGATATGAGTTCCAGAAGTGGGAGTCGTGGAAGGAAAAGGCCCCTGACCAAAAAGCAGAGAATGAAGAGAAGTGTTTTGGAAAGACACGGACATGTGGCTGTTTGAGGCTATTTTAGACCAACAATACCTTTTCATCTTTCTCCAGTAACTTTTATGTTAAAATGGAACAACTGAGTAGACAAGCTAGAGATTGTGTGTGTGTGTGTGTGTGTGTGTGTGTGTGTGTGTGTGTGTGTGTGTGACTGACATTATGGACAATCCAGCATCCCTTCCTCAAAAGTCCCATTTGCGTTTTTGGATCAGGAGGGCAGGAAAATTGTATGGGAGAAGAAAGCCATCCAGGGAACAAGGGTATTATTAACATGGCCGCTGCCTCCCCATCGTCCAGCCCAGATCCACATTTTGTTTTCTTTCAGATCATTTTGAGGGCTGAGGTCTCCTGCTAGTGATAAGTGTTGAGGACATGCTGAAGAATGATCCTCCATTCCTATAACACTGTCTGCCCTGCTGGGCTGACCTCATGTTCACCTGGAAGCTTGTACCACCTTTGGGAAGAGAAATCAGTGATGACCACAGCTCCCATACTAGAGGTGAGCCTGTCCTGAGACTCTCAGGCTGGCCTCAGTCATTGCCATCTGAAGACAGAGCTAGTAGAAAGGATGGGCGATGGGGCATCAGAGCACTGGGTTCTAGTCCCAGCTGTGCCATTTTATGGTACGTAGTCCAATGGGCCCGAGTGCCCCATGGACCTCATGGGGTATGCTCTTTGAAGGCTCTTTGTAGAGTTAAGCACTGCACAAAGGCCAGGTGGTATCATCACCATCCTCATTAATGAGGCCATGAGTTTCTGGGGAGCCCATGACAGTAGCAGGCACACATTAGATGCCCAGGAAATGGGCTGCTGATGTCGATAGTGACAGTGATGGTGGCAGTGTTCTCCTAAAGCAGAAATGCTGCTCTGGCTCATTATGTTTAGCTCTCTAAAGAGGCCTCCACAGAAATCCCCTTTGTTCCTGGACCAAGAGGATGAGTCTGGTGAACAGTTTTGCTTTGAAAAGTTTCACGATTTGAAAACCTTTTTGGAAATATTTGCAAAGAAGAAAATTGTTGTTGTTCAGTCATTTC